TGGCATTTTGAAAAGTCCAGTTAGTTTTATCGTTTAGAGAAATGAGAAGTCATAACAAGGTTTCCATAGGTAAACTTGCGGAAGGATCATTGTCAATGCCTACTCTGGCGGACCTCGAACACATGACCCTCCGTACGAACCACACTTGCGCTCCCTCCACCCTACCCCCTGGGACGGAGAGGGCGCCTTGCGCGCCAGCTTACCCGGCACAGATCGCGCCAAGAAAAATACGATATTACGGAGCATGCTGCCTCGGCGTGCCTCTAGAATGATAACTGTCCGCGTGACTCTCATCAGTGGATATATCTGCTCTCGCATCAACAAAGAACCTCGTGAAATGTGATACTTTGTGTGAATTGCAGAATCCCGTAAACCATCGAGTCTTTGAACACCAATAGCATCCGAAGCCCTCGGGCCGAGGGCACTCCTTCTTGGTGTAACGAGTCGGATGGTTCCTCCTCGAACATCTTCCCGTCGGCCTAGAAATTCCTTGAGACTCTTGAGAACCTCGCTAGTACAGCCTCACGTACAACTTCAATATAGACTAGAAAGCAAGAACAGTTCAAAATGCACCCGGAAAAGTAAAGTGTATATTAGCTCTCTAAAACTAAAGCGAGTTACAAATGAAGGATCATCCCTGTATATAAACACTATAACGGACCAGGACAAACACAAGCCAAAGTATATCCACGTTTGGATAAACTCTATCTATACAAGATAAGGATAAGGCAAAATTGTCCATAACTCCCTTGTGGTTTCGAAACTCAGCGTAAATTCCCCATCTACTTTAAAAATTACATGGTACCCCCTTATACTTTAAAAAAAGTTGCATGAAACCCCACCACCATGAAACTTTTCTCATGTAATAAGAAGATGATTTCCTATCTATATGTTTTGCATGGCAGAGGGGGTTTTATGCAATATTTTTTAAAGTTTAAGTGAGCATCATGCAATTTTTTAAAGTAAAATGGGGATTTATGCTGAGTTTCGAAACCACAAAGTGGTTTCATGCAATATTTTTTAAAGTATAAGGGGGTACCATGCAATTTTTAAAGTAGATGAGGAATTTACGCTGAGTTTCGAAACCACAAGGGAGTTATGGGCAATTTTGCCTAAGGATAAAGATAAGTTATAAAAGGAAATACGGATAAGTTATGTCAAATGCATATGGGCAAACTTGGTCAAAGGGCGATCTCGGTACTTTTAGAATATTTTAGACCATTGCAAGAGGTTCCGAAAAATTTTGAAGGGTTCCGAAACATTCCAGGAGGTTCCGTAACATCTCGAAGAGTCTCCGCTAGCCTCTCTGTGTTGGTGCGCTGCAGGCTCCTCCTCGGCATTCCTCTGCCAGTGTTTTGATCCGGGACATTCTCCCCTACTCGAACTAGGCATTGCCCTCAATGACTCAAAATCTTGGACAAGCTCCTCAAACTGGCATAAGTCTTTCGCCGGCTCCCAACTCATCTCGGACTCGGGTAGTCCACGCCACCTGACCAGGTACTCCGTCGATGGTGGTCTATTCTTGTGTCAGACCACCCTAGCAGCAACGATCTTCTCGGCCACTTTATCGTACACCATCCACATGCCTGAGGATGCCCTTATCGAGTCAAGCTGAGCATCCCTACGATATGGGTTCGATATGGGCCACGTCCACGCGGTCTGGCCAACACTTGGCTAAGTGGAATGCTGATGGGCTCGGGCCTTTGTACGTTCCCACCAAATCCTTCAGCTTTATGGGCTGAAAACCATATACTACCTCGAACAGACTCTTTCCCGTGCTCTCGTTCTTCTGCAAGTTAAAACAAAATTGCACAACATCGAGAAGAGAAGCCCAATACAATTGGTTTACCGTGATATAGTGCCGAATGTACACTTTCAGTACATGATTAACACGCTCCATCTGTCCATCGGTCTGGGGGTGCATCGTCGTAGAAATTTTCAACTCTGACCCCAATAACCGAAAAATCTCCATCCAAAACCTTCAGGTGAACCGAGAGTCTTGATCATTAATAATGCTTGTCGGCAAGCCCCAATACTTGACGACATGATCCATAAACAAACAAATTGGTTGTTGTCTCTGTCGTACACTCCTTCTGTGCGGGTATGAACTCTGCGTATTTTGACAGCCGATCCACCACCACATGAATACTCGTGCAGCCCATGACTTTGGCAACCTGATGATAAAGTCCATAGAGATGCTCTCCCACATTCTCCCGGGTATCGGCAAGGGCTGCAGTAGTCCTGCGGGTGGCTGGTTCTCCACCTTATCCTGCTAACAAAAAAGGCATGTCCCGAGGTATTCCTTCACATCCTTCTTCATGCCCGGACAATAGTAGCATTCTCGGAGGAGGGCCAGGGTCCTCTGAATGCCTGGGTGTCCAGCATACTTGGTTTCGTGGCACTCCCGGAAGATATCTCGCCCTAAGTTCTCCCACTTTGGTACGTACATTCCATATCCATTCGTTATGACAAGGCTATTTTCCAAAGAATACTTCTGGGTCTTCTCTTCTTCGATATGTTCAAACACTGCATGTGCAAACTCGTTGTGCACTAGTCCCTTGTGTATCTGATCCAAAATGTCCCCGTCAACAGAGTGTAGGGCCGCCACTTTACGACTCAATGCATCAGCTACTGCATTAGTCTTCCTGGGTTGGTTCTCAATCTCGAACTTGAATTCTACAAGAAAGTCAAGCCACCATGCTTGTTTTCCTGTTAATTTCTTCTGAGATTGAAAGTAACTTACAGCTCAATTTTGGGTGATGATAGTGAAGGGAAGTCCCACTTTCAAGTAGTGCTCCCACACTCGCAAGTAGTGTACTACCGCGACCATCTCCTTCTCATGCGTAGTCCACCTCTTTTCCACATCTGCCGGGTGCCTCTCCTGCATGAGCATGCCTCCTACTGCCATGTCTGAAGCTTTCGTAAGTACTTTAAATGGTTTTGAGAAGTCAGGGAGAGCGAGTACCGGCTCCTCTGTAAACTCCTTTTTCAGTTGATCGAATGCCTCCTAACATTATTTTGTCCACTCCCACTTCTTCTCCTTCCGCAACATGTTCGTCAAGGGGATCGCCATCGTCGAATATCCCTTAATGAACCATCGATACTAATTTATTAGACCAAGGAAAGATCGTACCTATGTCGGCGACTTGGGTGCCCTCCACTCCAAAATTTCCTTGATCTTTCCGGGCTCCATGTGAATTCGTTTGTTCCTGACGATATGCCCCAGGAATCCCACTTATTGCAGGCCAAATTCGCACTTGTCCCTCCTCACGTAGAGCTAATTCTCTCTTAGACTTGTGATAACCCTTCGCAAGTGTTCAATATGGTATGCCATGTTCCAAATGTACACCACAATATTGTCTAGGGGTGTGTTTGTTTGGGGAATTGGATTGGATTTATACTATTTATCCAATTTTTTCCCCCCAAAAACATCAAATCAAACACCTATTTTTCATTTTTTATATTATACTAAAAATCAATTTTATATTCAAAACATCGCATCAACACCTATTTATATCACATCATACAACTATTCAAATTCAAAATTTTTACTATTCAAATCCCAACTTAAAATCTAAACCTCCAAACAAACACACTCTAGGTAGACCACAACGAAATCATCAAGAAAGTCTCGCAACACCTTATGCATCGGTGTGCAAAAAGTCGCCAGTACATTTTTCAGACCAAAAGGCATGACTTTGAACTCATACGACCCATATCTTGTGATAATGGTTGTCTTTGGTTCGTCACCTTCCCGTATCCGTACTTTATAGTAACCCTTTAGAAGATCCAGCTTTTACAACACTCTCGCTGGCTACAAACGATCAAACAAATAAGCTATAAAGAGTATTGGATACCAATTCTTTACCATCATCTTGTTAAGTGTTCGGTAGTCATTGCACATCCTCAGGCTCCCATCCTTCTCCTAAAATAACATTGGTTCTCCGAAGGGACTCTTCGATGGGGTTATGGACTTGGCCTCCAAAAGCTCTCCCAACTGCTTGTGCAACTCCGCCAACTCATCAGGGGACTTCCGATAGGCAGGTCGAGAGACTGGTTTCGCCCCCTTCACTAAGTCTATGGCATGGTTGACAGCTTGTCGCAGGGGTAACCCCTTAAGTCGTCTGGCATGACATCTTCAGCTTCTTTATCTCTATTCCCCCCAGACGTCCTTATCGCTCAGGATGGCAACGAAGGTTGGCTCTCCTTTCTTCAAGCCTTTCTCGAGTTGTTTTGGGTTGAGCTCCTTTTCTCGATACACCATCACGTCACATGGCGTCCCACCCTCAGTGATAGTGAACTTTTGCTCGTATGGTACCATTGTAGGCTTTACATGGTCCATGAACTTCATTCCTAAAAATATAGCATAGTCATCCATGGGAGCTATGTTAAAGAACTCAGTACCTTTCCACTTCAACAGCCTTACCCTTGGCGTTCTTCCTAGTCTGCCTTGAAACTTGGTTCTCATCCTCGTACTCAGCGTCTAACCTGTCAGTCGCCACCCCCTCAGAACTCGGCTCTGATACCACTTGTAACGGGTCGAATGGTTCCTCCTCGAACACTTTTCCGTCGGCCTAGCAATTCCTCGACGCTTCCAAGAACCTCACTAGTACAGCCTCGCACACGACTCCAATATAGAATAGAAAGCAAAAACACTTTGAAATGCACCCAGTAAAGTAGAGTGTATATCTCTCTGAAACTGAAGTGAATTACAATAAAGGATCATCCCCTATGTATAGACACTCTAACATACCGAGCCGAACACAGGCCTGTATATCCACACTTGGATAAACTCTATCTATACAAGATACGAATAAAGATAAGTTATAAAAGGAAATACGGATAAGCTATGTCAAACGGATATGCGCAAATTCGGTCAAAGGACGATCTCGGTACTTTTAGAATATTTGGAACATTCCAAGAGGTTCCGGAACATTCCAGAGGGTTCCAGAACATTCCGAGAGATTTCGGAACATCTCGAAAAGTTTATGCTAGCCTCCCTATGTTGGCGCGCCGCAGGCCCTTCCTCAGCGCTCCTCGGCATTCCTCGACCAATGTTTCGGTCCAGGACATTGGGCATCACGCATCGCGTCCCCCCCTTACCCCCTCTTCCGAGGGGGAAAGGCAGGGCGGAGACTGAACCCCGTGCGCGGAACGCCGAATGCGGCCGGCCCAAAGGTGATCCTCTGACGACGCACGTCACGGCCAGCGATGATTGGATTCCGAATCCTTCAATCCTGTCCACTGCGCACGAAACTATCCTCCGGCCGACATCGCAAACAACAACGCGGGACGCACCTTAGCATTTTTTTTGTGTAACCAGTGGATAATTTAACTAGCCAAAGGCAAATCAAGACACCAAATAACAGGAATCTTTACCATAGAAGTGCTTTATATTTGCATACATAAAAACTCAAACTCCCAAAGAAGACTTTTATACACAAGCTTAGATCTGGAGGCCTCTTAATTAAGCTCAAGTAAACTTCCATTGGTGATGCATTGGTACTGTCAGTTGTGATTAAGTTGAGTATCCAAACACACCTTCTACAGTTGAAAGTGTGCAACTTTATTTCAGAAATAACTGAAATGGAGAACAATAAGAAAGTTTGTATATTTACAAACTTACAATCACCATACTTGATCTCAAGAATTTGTAAATTTTGTATTATTCAAGTTAGAGTCCAACTTGCATTATTTGGACATTGCTAAAGATCTTGATGACCATCAAAGCTTTTGTCAGCAGCAGCAGCTTCGTTATTGTCTAAAGCATCTTTATAAACTAGAGGTTCAGACTGCTTTGGCTGCATCAGGTAATGAATTCCATTAACCACATCATACACCATCAGTCCAATCCTCTCACCAATCCAACTTCCGAAATGACTTCCAACCAGATAACCAATCCTTTTAAATTTCTGCTCTCCAAGGAAACCAACGGAATAAGTGCCAAACAGTGTACCTGTGCCCCGAAGCAACCCTTCCATAATTTTACCTCCAAAATATATGGATTCCAAGAAATCCCATCCCGAAGATATAATTGGACCTATAATGCGATCGGCTTTTCTTGTTGCAAGTTTTGCTGCCTTTTTACCTTCTTTATGTGCCACTTTTACAGCATTCTTAGCATCCATGCCTTGGGCAACTGCATCAGACAAAGCAACCTCAATTGCTTCATACTTTCTACTTTCCACATGAAGGGACCTAATGTTATAGCAATACAGTTTTACACCCTCCTTTGCTAGGCATACAACAGTGCCATAACTCCCATCGAAACAATTCAAAAAAGTAAATGTCCCACTTTTTGATGCAGCCTCTTTACCAACCATAAGTCTACATCTCTCAGCTACACAACAAAGATAACAAGTAAAATTAAATGAATAAAATAAATGTAGATGAGAGGCATTGCAAGAAAACTCAAAGAAGAGAGGTGTTAAAATAATAGGAACTCTTGTTCACTGGCATATCTTATCTGGGCTAGAGAGTGGGCAGAGCCAACTGTGATTAAGCTACAAACCCTTCTGCAAGGATCAAAGATCAAAGCCTAAAGTCTCTACTAGCTGGCACAATGAGCATAGATGATTAAATAATCTACTAAAGCAAGCAAATTTGCATTACAATTCAGTAGTTTAGGATTTCTTGTTAGCAGGCAGTAAGGATGTTAGATGGGCTTATTGCACACACACAAAAGCAAAAAAATTGCACTAAATTCTCCAGAACAAAGTAATCAGACACTTTCTCGCATTTAAATATCCATCCTAGGATTTCCTCCATCAGAACTTCTACTTGAAGAACCTATATGGACGAATTTAGGGCTGAATAATTTGTGTGATGAATTCATCATGGTTGTCAATAGCTAGCTAATACTATATTATAATTTTTATTATAAGTAACTTAAGATAATTAGATTTTATATTATAATATGATATTCGTTATTTAGTAAATACAGATTATAATAGTAATACTATTATATTATGGTGTACTATAGCTACTTCTAGCTATAGGATGGAAAAATAGATATATTATGTAATTTGATGAACATACATGGGAAAAAATAAAACAAAATGAACAGAAAAGAAAAGAATATTAAGAATGTTTATGCAAGAGTAATAGTGAGACGGTGAATATGAAAATTATTTATTCTATTTTCAACTGATTAACTTGGATTATCTATCACTGTGATCTGATTTTTATTTCCTTTTTTTTTTTTTTTTTTTTTTTTTTTTGCTTATAACTATCGGTGAACCATGATTATATTTTTATTTTTATCGATTTGAATGATTAATTATAATTATAAGATTAGTATATAGATTTCTCTTATGTATTTCTATTGTAGATTTGTATATGCACTAAGTTTCTAGATGTGAGGCTAGCCTAGATTGACCATTATGGAATTTAAACGGAGATCTGTGTCCAGTAGCATTGGCATTGGCATCTGTTATAGGAAACTACTTATGTTCAATGGCGCTCCATTAAAACGTAAAATTCTAAGATATACGAAATTTATCAGAAATTAGGCAACAAATTCATATTGTGAATTCACGTATTTTCAGCAATGGCTACGTCCATTCGTACATACATAAACAGATCGTACATACATAAACAGAGCCAAATCCACAATATAATCTCGAAAACGACAGAAATTGCCTTACCGGTGGTTCTCAGAGCTACGACGCCAACAATGAAGAGCAGAAACTTAACCTTCCTTCTCTCCATACTCATAGTACCACAACTTGTGATCGAATTCAAACGATCTCAACAAATCCCGCTCCAGTTCCTTACAGCTCTCGTGGAGCAATTTTTTGGAAATGTCTAGAATCATTCCGAGCGCAGAGGGAAAAAGGATCTGAATAACTGAATTCAGATTTACATATTTCCCGGGGAAGGCGGTTCACCGCCGGCCATGGATCGCGGACAACGCCGCCGCGGCTCAAATAACCCGATTCCATATTCGTTTAATGCTTGTGATGGGTTATGAAAATTATGATAAATTATTATGCATTTATTGGGCCCTTAAAAGGCCCAATATTTAATTGTCGACTAATAAATTCAATAATTACACCAATTTCCTATAATTATAGGTGTGTTTTCTAGGGGGGTTTGGGGAAATTTAAGTTTGGGTTTGGCTTTTATTTCAATTTTGAAATGGGTTTGAATTTTGTTGTTGGTTTGGTTGGAATTTGAAAAGTTTTGATGTGTATTCGATGGATAATGAATAAACTAATATAAATGTGTATTAAATTTAATTGATAAAACTTATACTGTATAATTTGATTATAAATTTATATTATATCCAATATATATTTAAATTTTTATTTATTTGTATTATAAAAAAATTTATTCTCTACATATATATTATATTTTTTTCCCCTATAATTATAATAAATATTAAATTATATTTTAATATTAAAAAATAAATAAATAAATAACAGAACGTATCCCCAAACGTGAACAATCCTAAATTTGGGGTTTCTACTGTGCAAACTTGGGGCTGAAGAAATATCTATTTGTTTAATTGTACTTGCGCTTCACTTATTTGTTTGTTATGCTTCCAATTTTTGCTATTTAAAGTAAAAAGAAAACCAGCTCCTAAATCAAAATTTTAATATCCATAAATTAATTGATGGGATTATATGTAACAAAGTTTGTATTTTGTTGGACTGTCTGGATCGATCATACTTGGCTTCATGTTTCATAAGAACAATACATCTTTAGCCTTAATTATTTGTATTATATTATAATTAATTTTAATAATACATTCTTAATTATTTATGAATTATATTTCTTAAATTGTCATGTCTACCGGGAAACATCATAAAACATCATAATTGAAATTGAAGAGTATAAATTTGCTCACGTACAATTCATTTATATTAAATAATGATTTTGAAACTCTTGACTTAAATTCTCCATTTACTTTAAAAATTGTATAGAGCCACTTATACTTTAAAAATGGCATAAAACTTTCTATGATTTTGAAACTCAGCTACATCTCCACTCTCCTTTAAAAAGTTGTAAAACGCCCTCTTATACTTTTATAAAACTACAAGAAAAATTATAAACAATTTTACCAAAAAAAAAATGAAAGCAAAAATAACATAAACGGTGTTAATAAGAACTAAATCAATTAAAAGCACTTAATATTATACTTAGATCTATTATTTAATATTAATCTTTAAGCACATTATATCATCATACAAATTTTGCAAAAAAGACTACAAATTTCATTGCCCAAACTCCAGGAAAAAAAAAAACACCTTATTGTAGAAGTAGAATAGAGACAAGAACAATGTATCATCGTTTAAACAGCAGCATTGACATTCGACCATATCTCGCTCACTCCACGACGAGGCGCGAGATCACCTGAACAATGAACCCTACAAATTGTGAATCAAGCCAAGGGACGACGAAACATTACCTTCAGATCGAGTGGCGCGCTACTTTATGTATTGAGAGAGCCACTTGAAGCCGTCGCCATAGCCCATTTTACGAACAATGCTGCACATGAATACCTCGATTGCACGTACATTTGATTCTGCAAGGTTCACTTTACCCTTCCCGGTCGTGATCCCCATCAGCCCCAAGTGGTATCGCAGCTCGTCTTCTGATGCAGCATAAGGGATGTCGATTTTGTTTCCAAGAATCAAGAAAGGAACATTAGCCAAGGCCTCATCTGAAAGGAGAGCATCGAGTTCCTTCTTTGATTCCGCGAGTCTCTCTTTGTCGAAAGCATCCACTAAGTAAACGACCGCATCCACCTACACACGCCATGTAAATTGGACATAGGGAAAATGAAATAAACCGAAAGATGCATAAAAGAAATAGGGTAAATTATATAAAACCCCATTGTGTTTTAGTAAAAATGCACAAAATGCCCTATATTTTATTTATTGCGTGAAATCCACAAGGTGTAAAGTTTGCACGAAGCACTCTCTCTGTCCAAAAACTGATGTTTGGTTATAAATAAAGATCTAAATTAAACAAGTTTTATATAAATAAAAAATGTAAATTGCATAATTGAGGTCTTTCTTTAGACTAAAATATCAGTTTTGGACAAAGAGAGTATTTTGTGCAAACTTTACATTAACACAAAGGGATTTCACGCAATCAATAGAACACAGGTATTTTGTGCATTTTTACTAAAACATAAAGGGGTATTATATAACTTATCCAAAGAAATAAACCGAAAGATGCATATATATACCAAAAACTAGCTTTGTTTACCAACACTTTAGTTTACGGTAACATTTTTAGAAATATTACGTCAAATATATTTTTTCTTCTCACAAAACATCCGTTTTACTATTTTCAAAATTTTTCATTGTATCTAAAACGGAACCTAAATGTTCCACATATATAAATGATAGGAAACCACCAAAAGCAATACAAGAAATGGAAATCCGGTTCTAGCAATTCAATGTGTAGATACAAGTTCAAGTTTTCAAATAATGAGGAAATGGACCAAATCGGTAGGAGTGTCGCATGTGTATTGCAAATAGATAAATACCCTCCTAATTTAGTACAATATCCGAACTTGTCTTTGTTTGGAACACAACAAATCGCTATCCTAGTTAAAGAAAATTTATGGAACTGCGTAAATGAAAATAATCCATCAAAATTCAGTTAATAATCATGCATTTTGATCGCTACAAACTGTGAAGTAAAATCAAAATTGTTCCAGAACACAGCTATAAGAATTTTGAGCAACTACAGCGACTGTAGCAGCTAACGGCTGTGCTATGAGCCAAAGAAAGTGTTCACACAAATAAAGAGATCCAGCTGGATAATGAGGGTTCTAAGCCGAGCGTTAGCGAAGCTAGATTCTCATAGCGAGGCGCTTCGCTATCTTAACTTGGCAAAACCAGCACCAAATCCAAACCACATAGTTACAATCTCGGATAATGTTAAACAGCAGGATGACCGTTATTTAAAAACTTAAAAGTAAACGCAACAAAAATTATTATATATGCAAAATTACAATGAAAATGCATAATAAAAATCTATAAACTAATCTCATAATTATCAATCGAACCAATAAAGAATTATATGATCATAGATAGTTATACAAGCATAAACAATTACATCACTACTATTTTGATAAATACATGATCAAAGGCAATCAATAATAAATCCTGATAAATAATTTTTTTTCTCATTTTAACCTCCTCATTGCTACGTATAGATCTTTCTAATAATATGTATTATATTATACAATTTAAACCAAATGCCCACGAAATAATTATATAAATATTATAAAAGTATACGATCAATGGATTGATTAGCACTATAATGTAGATATTAATATCAGACTCACTTTAGCCGCTAATATGCACCAATGCTCAAATGCAAGCATCGTAATGTAAGAACAATACCGATAAATGTAGTGTTGGACAATTATCACAAGGAAATTAAACTATTAATTTCCTTTTTCTACAGAAGAAGTACCTTGGCATAGTAATCCTTCCAAACCCTACGAGCTATCTGATGACCACCAAGATCGAAAGCCTTGAACTTGATTTTCCCAATACTCAACTCCTCGGAAGTTGGATACTGAGTCGGCTGGTGTTGCACCAATCTCTGTTCATATCCAACATCCTCAATACCTTAAACTTGTCAACATAAGACAATACATAGCATGTAAAAAGTTTAAGGCCATGTTTGCTTAGACTAATTTCAGCCTAATGAATACTTACTTTAAATTACTTCCTCAATTTTCAAACCTACAAAGCCACTTATAGAATAAATTCATCCCCTTCAACATTTTAAGTCTTCTTTAATATTATCATTTCAAATGCTCTCTGAAACCAAACATGAGATGGATCAAATTCTGAAATATTTCAAGTCCAAATCGATCATTTGAGAATTAATTATTTAGCAGCTCACAGTAAGAGAAAATGATACATTAACAAGTAACAACAACCAAACAGACAGATTTAGATTCAATTATTAGGTTTCACAAGAAATTTCGAGAGAAAAAATCAATTTATTCAGCCAAAATATACATATATATCATATAGAGAAGCAGATTATCTCACAAGACTGATCACTTTTAAGCAGCTCAGCTTAAATGATGAACAACAAAACAAATCGAATGATCGGAAAAAGGATTGACCTCGTCTTTGAGCATGTGAAGGAGTGTGGTTTTGCCGGCGTTATCGAGCCCCAGAAACAGAATTTTAGCCTCTTTCTGCCACAGCCCAAGCGAAGCGAGCACTCCATAAAACCAATCCACCAAGAACATGTCGGCTTATAACTACGAACTCCGAATATCTTTCCGATCGATTGAACGCTCAAATCTACCCCAAACTCAAACAATTTCCGAATGCGAAATCTCCCGAGTAGGGTGAGTACGAAACCAGAATTAGCTCGGGATTTTGGGGTTGGTGATGCTCCTTTTCAAAGAGCAGAGCTTCTGTGTGTCATAAGAATCCACTTTCCGAGGCGCAGACAGTACAAATATTCACCTAACCCTAATTCAGAAATTAATAAATATGTTCGGGCTTCTCATTTCTGTATCTACGTAGGATTTGTTGGTTCAATCTTTTGTGAGCAAAAAGAAATTGTGTAAAATAATTTTTGTAAATATAAAAGAAATAAAGTAATTAAAGTATTTTTGTTTTATGTATAAATTATTTAAGAAATGTATAGTATTATTGAGAAAGGCCAGAGTAAAAAATAATAATAATAAAATAAAAAAACAAAATTATTACCTATTGTTACAACTTGAATGTTATTCTCTCATTTACATGTCTACCTTTTATTTATATATTTTAAGTTTATTTTAAATTTTTTAGTTATAAATATCAAATATTTTCTAGTTCCATTTGCATTCTAGATTAAAAAATCATAATATTTATAATATTTTATTAGAATATATAATTAATTGTATAGTAAAAATATATTTATAATTTAAATAAAAATTAATAATATTTTAATATTAATATATAATTAAGGTTAAAAAAATTTGATAATTTTGGAGATAGTATCATTTTTTCATTTACTGTTTTAGTAAAAGTGCGTTTTAATTTGTATATAAAAAATAAAGACGTTTTAATTTGTATATAAAAAATAAAGATAATTTTATAGTCGCAAAAGATACATATTTATCAGTTATAAAAATGAAACAATTAATTTGATATGAAGAAAAAAAGTTGCCTTTTCTAATGTAATAAAAAAATTATTTTAATAATAATTTAAATAATTATTGTATGAGTAACGTATGTTTGACCTTCATGCAGGTAGATATGATGCAATAATCACGTGTGCGTGTAACAAAACTTGAGCTCTACTTTCGTGATTCTTGTCATGTTTTTTAAAATAATAACAATCTAACAAATTAGGGTATGAACCGATCAATAATATTAACATTCACATTTTATATTTTATGTAGTTCAGTATATATTACTTTTCTTATATAAACTACGATCTGATCCTTACAAATTATGGCAGAAAATGACGAGACAAATTTTAAATGGCAATAAGACAGGAAGGCAAAGAAGGCAAGCAGCATTTGTGTAATAAGAGAGCATGTAACTATTCCACGGATCCAAAGCAAAACCTGTTTTAAGCTCATGAAATAGGCGAATTACCCATCGAAGCAATTATCGGCGTTTGGTGCAACATAACATTCATCATCGAGAAACAGAGCCTCCTAAAAAATTCCAAAAAAAAAAAAAGGAAAAAGGAAAAATCCAGGCGAGTAACTAGGCAAGCTTCTCAATACTCCAAATGCTCTATAGCTCATCCTGCAAAATTTAAAGCAAATGAGAATAGAGTATAACGTATATTGTCGTAGTAAGATTAATGGGGGAGTATATGAAAGCCCACTCACATGTTCGGGGGCTTCAGAGTCTTCTTTGGCATCGGCAGAGTCATCTGATTTCTTATCATCATCAGCATCCTCAGAATCGTCAGCATCATCAGCATCATCCTGTCGAGCAACAGAAAAGGGATTCAAGTTATGAAGGAAAGGCTAGAGAGTAGTTTATTGCAAGATGGATTTGCTATGGCGAGAGGGGCTTACGTCAGAATCAGCTGGCTCATCCTTTGATTCCTAAAGACAGGGAAGTTCGGATTTAGAATTGAATAACAGAATTGGATCACATGAAGGAAAAAAAAAAAAAAAAAGCGTGAATTTGAGTTATATACCTCTTCTTCCCTCTTCTTTTCGGCCTCATCAAAAGCTGCCTTCTCGGCCTGCAATTTCAAAGATTCGGGTAGCTATTGAGTGAATTGGAGTTTCGGAAATAATGTGGTTGGGGTGTTAATTGAAAGGAACATCACATACATCCTTGTGTTTGCCCCATGTTTCTTCGGCAAGCTTCTTAGCATAATCAGGGTCGTCAGCAACCAAGATATTGTCGAACAAGGTTCCAGATTTCACCTGTGGTAAAAATACAATAGCTCAGAGATCGAAGTTGAGGGTTTATGATATCTACACTGAATATCATAACTCATAAACCCAAGATTTAAAGAAAAACAAAAATCTTTACCTGCCACAACTCAATGCCTACATACTTCAAACGTGGATAAACATAGAGTTCAGGATCATCTTTGAAGTCTGCAATCATATCAAGAGCAAGATTAAGCAAATTCAAAACTACAGCACTCACAAGATTTAAACATGGAAGAGAAAAACCAAAAAATAACCTGGGTTATCAATCATTGGTGCCTTCCACTTGCCCTTATAGTTGGGGTTCTTGATTTTCTGTAGTGGAAACAAAAGTCAAGCACAGACCATGTAATAAAATAAAGAGTTAACACGAAACCAAAATTCCATTACCTTTGCCTTCCATGGTCCCTTGTACTCGGGGTTTGGAATGGTTGGAGCAGTCCATTCACCATCTTCCTCATCATCCCAGTCATCAGGCTGCACGAAACCAAGTTACGAGCAGAGCATTGGGTTATTACTCATGCCGCCGATTATGAGAACCAAAGCCTGGAAAATAGGTTCGGTTACCTTTTTGGCTTCAGGATCTGTAATCTCCTTTGGGATGTCATCATAACCCTACAAGCATAGAATTTTTCCAAATATGTCAACAGATGCAAACACCTCACTAGACTCATGTCAACAACAAACTCCCAATAAGGCCTAATGCCATAAAATACAACTACAATTTATTTACCTCTGGTTTCTTGTCCTCAGGATCAGGAACGTACTCCTTATCGTCCCAATCTTCTGGCTACAGTTGGCATCCAGAAAGCGTAAGATCAGTAATGAGGCAATAGATATATACAGTTGTAAAATGCCTTAAAGTAAGCCTAAAAACACCTTCTTGGCCTCGGGGTCCTTGATCTTCTTTGGAGGCAAGATATCCCAGTCAGAGTACAAGCTACCAGACTGCTTCTCCTCATTGTCGATGAGGATGCTATAGGTAGCGTCAGGACGTAGGATAAACGTGTAGACATGAGTGAGTTGGTCAGTCTCACATGGAACATCCTTCTTGATCAAGTGGTTTGTCTCATTGTAGGTGAGAATAGCATGGACTTTTTTGGTGCTGTAGCCACATATATCTGGTCCAAACATGATACTGCAACAATACAATAAAGTTAAATCAGTAACTGCATCAGCCATAAAATACCAGACATTTCGGTTAAGGGCGGAAGATGCTTCATCAAACCTGTATGGAGTGTCACCACCAAATTTCTTCTGGTCAATATCACCGCTAAGCAATTTTATGTATCCCCCACCACAGTCAAGCTTCTGCTCATGCTTGACAGAAAATTGAAATACTAACGTCTTGTCCTTGTTGCTGAATTCAGGGAATTCAGCAGAAATGGCATAGAACCTGTAGTCTTCACTGGTCTGAATACCTATAACCAGACAATTAATAATACATTTAAGTCATATATTTTACCTTCAATTTATATGAAAACTGCAGTATGGAAAAAAAAAATGATCGTAGTTACCTTTATCATCAGCATCTCCATTCCATTTGCCAGAGGTATAATTCCACTCACCAGCCATGTTCTCATCTTTCTTCCATTCAGACTTGACCCAGCGACTATCCCATCCATCTACAAATTTAGCAGAGAATATTCAGTGCTATAGTCCCCATGTGAACCATAAACAAAATGTTGAAATACATCCAGCTTACAGACTCATATTCAAGTTCCTAACTTAAGATCTCAACAAAACAACACCACACGACGCACATCACTGATCAGTTTCAGCAATTCACAATCAAATAACCTCACAACCGCATTCCAAAAAGTGCAACAAACATCAATCAAAACGGCACGAAATCATTCACCGCACACGACAAATCAGTCAAAGAAATTATGCCGGAAAATACATCAACCTAGACTACAAACAACAATCCAATCCAAACACTACCAAAATTAAGTCAACTCTTCCGCAATCAACTTCAATCAAGTTTCTCGCATCAATTAACATAGCATTTCGAAGTAAAAACCAAACAGTTCGCACAGACGAAATATGAAGAAGAGAGTAACATCAGATCTACCCTAACCGATCTCAGCTCCATTCATATACAACGAATCTACATTCAATCCACACATCTAAACCAACCAGATCAACAGTAACATTTACATCAAAAACCGTACAAAAGAAATTAAAGAAAACAAAAAACATAAAATCGAAACACCACATGCCGAATAAACTAACAAAATCGAACTAAATTAGAAAACAATACCATCAAAACGCTCCTCAAAGAACACCTCAGCAGACACAGCCGCGAGCAGAAAGGAGAGAGCAACTACCAGAGGTAGGGCGACGCCATTCAATCTTCCCTTAACCATCGCCATGGCTGCGGTCTTCCCTAGAGCGACTAGTTAAGAGTGTGACAGGGAGTTATATAGGTGTGATATAATGCGTGATTCCATTCCCAGATCCCTATCCGACGTGGAAGACCACGGAAACTCAAACGAATAAAACATCGACACGTAGGATCAAATTGTCATTAATCCACGTGGCGTCTATCCATTGGGAAATGAAACGAAGTGGAGCACTCCGCAGGCCAGGCGACACTAGTAAGGCAAGTCGTTGTGAAATTACGACTCTACCCGTTCAATTTGGATTGATTTACAGCTTGAGTATGGCGCTTGCAAAGTTGATACGGAGGATTATTAGTTGATGAAACTTTAGACGAAATTACAATAATTATATAATTTTTTTATGATAAAGAAAAATTAATTTATTGAGTCGTTATGTTAAGTAAAAAATAATTTTGAAACCTTTATTTATAATTTTTTTTAAAGCGCTTGCATTTTTTTAAATGAAGCCTAAAACAGTAGTAAAATATATTAAGGGATAAAGATAGTTGATTTGATTTACATTTTATTTTCTTATTAAATAATAGTTAATTAGCTATTTTTTAAATAGAATAATTATTTTTTTAATTATAAAAATTACATAATAAATAAATTGAGAAAATTATCTAGGGGAGTAGATTCAATTTATTTATTTATATATTTGTTTTTTCATACTCCCTCCGTCTCGCCACAAATGATTTGTTTTCTTTTTTTGTACGTCCCACAAAAGATGGTTCATTTCCATTTTGGTAACTTTATCAATTTCAAACATACTTAACAAATATAAATTAATTTAATTAAACTTCTAACATATTACACTAGGACTCACTCAAAACTCTTTTATTTATATTTTTCTCCTCAATTAACATAATTTTTTATATATATTTAAAACTTTTCATTTTTTATAAAACTAATTTATGCTAATGATATTGCATATATTTTTTCTACATATAATTTTTTAAAAAAATTAAAATACCAATAATATTATTCATATAAAAAATAATAAACTAATAGCATAACTTATTATTAATAACTAATTAATCTACACTATACCACTAATATTATTCATCCCTCGCAAAACGAATGAAGTATTTCACAATTATGTAGATTTTTCTATTTGTGTTTTTAAAATCAGTTTGGAGTAGTATTTTTGTGTATGATGTACCATACATTTTACATGTAAAATATTGACTCTGTTAAGTTTTAATTTCAAAATAAAATCACCACTCAACTATAAAGGGATAAATTTAAAAAAAAAAAAAAAAAAATTATTTTTCATTCCATTATTATTTTTGTCCTTTATTTTTTTATGGTACATGAACAGCAGTTGCCTAACATCGTACAGGGTACAGTCAAAAAATATAAATATGATTTTTTGCAAATATATTAAATATATTTTGTTGACTAAATAAAAAAATAATAATAATTTGGTATACATAAACATATTTTTTTGTAATTTTCTTCAATAATAAAGAGAATATGCTTTCAGAAAAAATAAAATAAATTAATAAATAAAAATCTAAACTTAAATTAAAATCAAACAAACTCAATTATCAATAATAATTAAATTACTATTTTAATTTAAATTTTTTATATAAATATATGATAAAGAGAGTGTGCTTTATTATTATTATTATTTTCAAGTGTTTTACAATCTAATATTTACATAAAAAATAAAAATTGCAATTATTTTAATAATACTCTTCTCAAAGAATTTTATTGGTGCAATTACATTTTTATCTTATTATAAACATGATTTTTTGTTTTACTATTTTAAAATTTCTATATTACATTAAATAATTATTTAAATTTATAATTTTACTATTTAAAACTTCTGAAATCAAAACCTCATTAATAAGCACACTATTTTTATTTTATTCTTTATCGTCAATGCACCCGTAAATAATTTAAGGGTTATTTGATACGTAAAAATGATGGTAAAAAAATATTAATGAATTTATTTCTTTTGTTTGTTTGCTCGTAAAAATTGAAAAATAATTTATTTTTCATTTTCGACTTTCAATTCTCTCTTATACATAGAGAAATTGAAATAATTAAATTTTGTGGAGAAAAAAACATATTATTTATCTCAAAAAAATATATTTTGTATAAAATTTTTAATTATTTTTCTTTTAAATCTTTTCTTTTTATTCCAATTTTTTTGTCGTCAACACCGCCTGGAATTTAAAGGCTTATAATATAGATAGTAAAATTTTATAATCAACTTATTATTACTATATAATTATTGATTTGTGTACATTTTTTTTTTTTACATATATGCACAAATGAATGATAATTGATTTCTCTTTATATTTATTCGAGTTGAATTATCTAATTCTATTTATTATTTTCATTTTTTTTCCCTAATTATATTCTATATTATTATTTTTCTATAATTTTATTATTTGTACCAAACAGATTTTAAAGACAACAAACTTTCTAACATCTTTTCTCCTTAAATTATGTAATTCATATTTCTATATAATATTACTGTGTGTTTGTTCGGAGAAGTTTGAGGATTTATATTATTCATATAAAAAAAATTAAAAAATATCAAATCTAACAATTATTTTTTTATATATTATATTAAAAATTAATTTTAAATTCAAAATATAGTATTAATACTTATATATATCACATCATACCACTATTCTAATTAAATTTTTTATTATTTAAATTTCTATCAAAAATCAAAACTCTCAAGCAAACACACACTAATATGTTTTTATGCATAGTATTACATGCTTATTTAACTTTAAATAAAATACGAACATGAATTATAATTTAAATATCATATTTTATGAAAGTAGATATTATATATTTTTATATAAAATACAATAATTATGTAATAACGAAATTAAACTAAAATTTAAAATAACACGTACAAACCTATCCTAAAGTAAACTACCTTTAATAATAATAATAATAATAATAATAATAATAATAGAATTTCAAACATTATATACTAGTTTAAAAGTATATGATGCTTGGTTTTGAAGACATTCATGACCACGAGTAATCATCATTCTTACTTCACTCACACTCCCGCATGGCCATACCTCGTTTTATTTATCTCGTCTAATCATCTACATATTGTTTACTTTTAATTTTTTAAAAAAATTAACATCAAATACTTTTTTTTTTTTTTTTATCGTTAATAATATATTTTAAATTGTAAGAATATTTTTAATATCAGTAGAAATTATCGTTACTAAAAAAAAATAAAATAAATATTTTGTTATTAAACGAACAAAAATAGAAAAATAAATAAATTATTAAAGGACGGCAACAACAAAATTTCTTTTCATTACAAATACGAATTAAACAAACTCTCGAAACTTCACATTTTTGTGTTTAAACACAACAAGCATGGCAAAGTTGAACATCGAAGATTTTCTCGTTCACAATTCAAAATATCCGCGCAAGCCCACAAAGGCAAAGGGGCGCAGATCGAAACCGGGCGACCCGTGACGGGATGCTCGAACGACAAGCTCTCAGCGTGAAGCTCGTGCCCGTCGTAAATCTTCCCGTTCCACTTGTACACGCCGTCATACTTCACATCTCCCCTTATCGGAATTCCGAGATACTGGCAATGCAATCGGATTTGGTGCGTTCTTCCACTTCTCGGGTGCGCTCTCACCACGACTTCACCATTCTCGACCTCACCGGCGACCTCCGCACTTCCCTCCACAACGATTCTCTCCACACTCTCTCCTGACGCAGGGCTCGGGCGGGTGCGTTCTCTCCCGTTCACCGACACAACTTCAAACGACGTTTCCATGTCCCGTATACACGATCCGCCGGGGAGAGCCCGGCCAGCGTCTGAAAGGGCGTAGACGCGCCAGGCTCCGTGCCGGGATCGACCGTGGCCCGATTTTATAACCATGTTTGTCCATTTTGGAAGTGCGCCGACACAGAAGGCAATGTATGTCTTCTTCACGTTATGATCGGTGAACGCTTTTACGAGCTTTGCCGCCACTTTGTGCGACTTGGTTACGATCGTGACGCCGCTGGTGTCTCGGTCGAGCCTGTTGGATAGATGGAGCTCCGGATTTGTTTGATCCCCTGAAATAAAATTGAAACCGAAATCGAACACGAAGAAATATAGTTATAGCAATGGAACCATCTAAGAAACAGAATTAGCAGAGTAAGCTTTCTTTCCATTTTCATCAAATCAGTTATGGATTTTGGGAGAAAATAGTGTTTAAAGTATGCTAAGGATGTTTTTCCCCAAATGTTTGAATGGCACAGTTAAAGCAGGCTCGTGAAAATTGGGGCAGATTATCAAACCCTAATTACCAAATTAGGGATTAGGGTTCATCGCAGACAATTCAAACTCTGGCTCGCAATCAAATCCAGAATCACAGAATCACAACAAACAAACAATAGCAGCAGCAACAGAACAAAGCATTGGATCCAATTCACGATTCAAGTAATGGAGGATCAATATGTGTACGAACGAACGATGAAAAGAGGGATCGGATCGAACGAGCAAACCTCGATCGGCGTCGAGGAGATTTCGCACCGCGGATAAAACGCTCTCGCAGTAAATTCCTTGAGGCTTATTGACTGCGATGAGCCACTCGTCTTCAAAAAGGACATCCTCTCGGGAGAGGGAAAACAACGCCGATTTCGACGAAGCAGTTAGGGCTCTGTTCAACTCGACATCCTTCGATATGAGCGGCGGCGGCGGGGAGAGCGGCACCGGATAATTCGCTAGAGAGCGTCGGACATCTTCCGATTGGATTTCTGAAGAATTCCGGCTGCCGTGAGCCTCGGCCGCCATGGATGAAAACTGCAGAAGCGGTTTGGAAATTCCTACTAGGAGAGGACAGCGGGCTCCGACCAGGGGCATTATCGTCATTTCATATAAACCCAAATATGCATAAAATCATACATGAAGAAAGTTCAAGAACATCGTCTATATAATATATGTAATTACAATTATCCGTACAAATTCTCAGAAATTGAAGTTCCCCAAATTGTAAGGATTGCTATCCACATTCTGATCCATGTCGACGTTAGCAGTAAACCCTTGAGAAGCGGCAAATCGCCAGTTTGCGCTTTCCGATGAGAGACCACCGGCGGCGGCGACGCTGTAGTGACGAAATCCAGCCGACTCCGGGAACGAATAAACCTGCGCATCGCCGGCGGTGGCCAGGGAAGATTCCGGCAGCAAGTTGTTAAATTGGTAATTGGAAAATGGGGTGCTGCTGGGCTGAATTTGAGACAGTCCTAATCGATTGAGATTTCCTCCATGTCCGAGCGTCAGATCCATACCAGATGTAATTATTGTGGAGTTTGGAGCAACCAGTTCAATAAAATTAGGCGGCGGCGGCGGCATGGTTGTGGTGATCCCATGATGCATTTGGTGAAATTGAGGTTGTGTTGGTAATGGTGGGGTGAATGTGAGGGCAAAGTGAGCTGGGGAGATGTGCCAGTCGAAATATGGAGATTCGGAGCTCGGAAATTGGCGGCGGCTGAGGGCGGCGAGGCGGTCGTCGTATTGAAGAAGCTTGCTGTAGTGCCTGTCGAGAACTCCCTCCGGGAATCTCACATAATGCCTCCTGATCATCGATATATAAACGTCACATATATATACAATCAATATATGTAAATATATAATTTTATATATATATATATATATACCTCCAAATGGAAGCTTGGCCGGATGTGAAATCAGTGGTCTGGTGCCAGAGGGTGTGCTTCCTCGGCTGAGGGCTCGATTCACGGTAGAACAACGGCGGCCTATTCACCTACCAATTTTTGGAATTTTGAAATTTTTTTAAATTAATCCAAAAATAATATTTAGTGTAATGTTTTATAAAAATATATACTTTTAAGTATGAGATTTAATAAAAAAATTTACTTGTTCCCGTCATCTGTACTTATTTGACTAGTAAAAATAGAAAATTTATTTTTTTTTTTTGTAAAAAAAAAAAAAAAATTGAGAATAAATTTGAATAACAACAAAATAAAAATAGATTTGAATAATAGGGAGTATAATTTTCAAAATATGTATGTAAAATATTTTGAATAAAAATATAATGTTTACATAATAAAGTTAGCACATAATATGCATGCATGCAATGCAACGACGTTGAAGGTGGCTAACCTCGATCTCCAAGATGCCGGGGAGATTTTCCAGCGTGGTAGCTCGTATGGCGACGATGTCGGACCATTGCATTTCGATCTTGCTCTTCAAAGCTCCGTCGAGGAGCTCCCACACAAGCTTGCGCTTGGCATAATAAAGCTTCGCAACGAGGTCACCTTGATGCATGCTCGTTCTCCGCCACGACCCTATCTCTATAAACACCGCCGGAAAATTGGACGCCTTTAGTTTCTCCGGCGCCGGCTTGCCGTGATCCTCCTTCGCCGGATTCTTTCCTTTGGAGAGGCGGCGCTGTAATAAGCTTAGGAAGGAAGGAGTCTTGGTTAGCGTTAGGCCTATAGGGCTGCTCGAACTCTCCGACGCCGACGCCGGCGACTGTCGACTATTGTTTCCGGCGTCCTGCACCAAATTAGGGAATAGTAATTAGGAGGATGGAGGATCGCATGCTATTGTAGCCACGTGCTGGGCACGTGACTCAAATTGCATATATAGGAGAGTTAGCGAGGGAGATGAGAAAAGGTACAACACGCAAAAGCGGTGGGGCAGAGAGTACAACACGCCATTGCACGATCACCATGGCTATGATCAATTACAGAGAAAGAGAACGAACCTGAGGAAGAAGATGAGAATGGTGAGGAGGAAGGTTTGATGAGTAATCGTCATGATCAGAGCCGTGACTGCTCTCAAATTCTTCGGATCCTTCTTCGTTCTCATCAATCCAAAATACTCTCTCGCCCATTTTCATTGATAAAGACCTCTGCTCAAATCCTCACATATATACATACATAGAGAGAGAGAGATAGAAACGTGTCAGAAAAACCACTAGAGAGAGAGAGAGGAGAAAACGTTGAAAATTGGGGAAGGAAAAAATTTTTATAAAAAACAGGGGAATGGATGGAAGAGAAGAAAAGCAGAGGTGAAGTGAATCTCAACTACTGTGAACAATCTACTTGGCATTTTTTTTAAAAAAAAATAATAATAATAATTTATTCATTATATTTAGTTGAGAATAAGATATTATTAAATAAATGGAGATTTGGGACGTTAGATTTTGTTCCTTTTTTTGGTCTTTTTTTTTTCTTTTTATTTATGCCAATTAAATTCACAGTAATGGACTTGTACCAAACTTAATAAAAAATAAAAATAAAAACAATCAAATTTATAGCCAGCACCTTCTATGTAATTTGGGATCACTAGATATATATAGGAAAAAAAATAGTATCAATAGGATAAAAACAATTCAATTATGAAAAGAAGTAATCAATTATGGTATAATTATTAAAAAGAAAAAAAAAACTAATCATTAGAAAAATTAATGGCAAACACTGGTGTGTATGTGACGGGTTTCTAATATTACATCTGATCTAGACAGAATACAATTATATTTATCAAAACATAAATTAATAACAATATGACCATATCAAAAACATAAACTATGTGTGAATAATCAACAATATGACCATATCAAAAACATAAACTATGTGTGAATAATCAACAATAAATTAATAAAACAATATGACCATATATAATAATAAAAAGGCCGAATCAAAGGACTTATCTTTTCAATTATATGTCAAAACTTTTATTAAAAAATACAATGTGAAATATATATTTTATTACAATATAGTATTTAAAATTAATTTTTATTTATTCAAATATTTGTAAAAATATATAAATAATATTAATTTTAATTTTAAAATATGAAAGGAAAAAAAAAATCTAAACAAACCCAAATATTTCAAAATATATGATCAAAAGATCAAATGAATCAGACAAAGATTTTCAATCTTAATCATTAACTGATTATTAAAGAAGAAAAATTAGTGAAGATCTTGAGTGTGTGTTTTTAACAACTTTTTCTATACATATTTTTCGATTAATATTATAAAAATAATATAATGTATATACTATATTAATTCACAAAAATTAATAATATAATATAAAATATTATTTTTTTAAATTACCATTATGCTTCCCCATACAACATAAAATATATATATATATATTCTCTCCCTCTTATAAAAAAATAGTACTATTTTTTCTCTTTGTCCGTCCAAAAAAAAATATCATTTTTTAATTTAGTAATTGTACTACCTATTTAACATAATTAATACTCTTACAACTTTCAATATATTACACACTATGTTTTTTATCACACAATCTAATAAGATCAATTTTATCTTTTCCACTGTAAACAAATATAATACTAATATTAAAAAATCTACGTGCAAAAAGCAAATGTAACTCTTTTTGCGGGACAGAGGTAGTATTAAATAAAAAAACACGACACAAATACACTATTTGTTTTATTTAGAGTTTGATTTTAATCTTTTTTAATATTGTAATTTAGTGTAAAGTCTGCACGAAACATCCAATTTGTCTAAAATTAATATTTGATTTTAAATAAAAACTTAAATCACGCAGGTTTTATAAAAATAAAAAAATGTAAAATATTTTAAATAATTTTTGTGAATAAATTAATAAATAATAATGAATTAATCCTTCATTTTATAGACAAATTGTTATCTAATTTTTATAAAAACTATAAAAATAAATGATTGATCAATTATTTATTTATTTATTTTATTCAAAAAAATATTTAAGATATTTTATATTCTAATTTTGTATAAAACTCACGTAATTTATGTTTTTATTTATAACTAATATCAGTTTTAAACAATGAGAATGTTTCATGCAAATTTTACATTAATACTAAAGAGTTTCGCGCAATAAATAAAACACACAGTGTTTTGTGCATTTTTACTATTACGAAAAGAGGTATTATATAATTTACGTTTTTTGAAATAATCAAACCTAAAATATTTAAATGGATGCACTCAATTAATGAGCACGTGATTAGACTATATATATGTATATATATATATATGCTAACTTAAAAAAAATAATAAATAACCCAAAAAACAATAATATCAAAAAGTGATCAGTTCGGATTCCAAATCTTTCCTCATGGAAAAATGGATAAAGTTATTTGTTATCTTGCATGAGCAAAAGGGATATCTAACTATTACTCCATATATATGCAATACTTAAATAAGTAGAAATAAATTTTTATTGCTCTATATATGGACACACACTTTTCAAAATTACTATGATATTATTCTTATAGTATTTTAAATATATATATATGTTATATTAAATATTTATTATTTTTACAATTTTTTAAAACTAAAAAAGAAATCTCGGAGATAAAAGTTTGGTCCAATGTGGAAATCAAAGAAAGGGGTCACAATATTTGACTCAAAGTGATGAAAATGTACATTATATATAAAATCATTATTGAGTGTGACTAATCATTACTTTAATTTTATGATGATTGTGATTGTGACAAATATTTATAATTTATATATATATATTCTCTTGGATTGGGATTTGGTCATGAAATCCATAGTGCCCTTTAATTGTGTGGAAAATAAGAAGATGAAGAAGAAGTTTCTTGATTCTTTAATTTGCTATTTTATTTATTTATATTCATTCTTAGCTAATGTTGGTGGAAGTGTGACAATGGAATTGGACCCATCACAAGATGTCACTGTTATTATATTTATCAATTTCATTGCTTCCTATTATCCGTCAATATGAAAGTATTTTAATATTTTTGAGGTACTTTTCCAAATAGTACAAATTTAAATAAATATTCAATATGAACTTCTATATATTTTCTTAAAGTTTATATATATATATATATATATATACTATGCAATCTACACAGTTTACTATAAAAATAACTTAATAATAATATATTATTGTCTATTTTGGGTAGAATCTATACAAATTTATTTATAGGGGTAGACTCGAAAATAACAATTGTAAGTTCTCGTATCATTAAAAAAAAAAAAAATATTTTCTTTATAATATTTTAAATAAACATAAATAGTAATGTGATATTGTTTGGAAAAAGAAAAAAAGTTTATGAACAGTACAAAAATAATTTTGAAAGATATCAAAGTTTCAAAACAAAATTTTAAACTAGAAATGGCATTATATTATAAAGGTAGATTAGATGCTATTTGTTAAAAACTTTCGGTACGTATCTTTATTCTCTATGATTCTAAGCAAGTGGAATAATAAATTTATATTAAACTAATTAATAATAGAAATATACTATAAATAATGAAATTGTAATGTTTTCATTTCTATTCTTTAAAATATTATTGACCCATATAAATTTCATCAAATTCAAACCATAAGTATGCATTTGATTTTTATTAGAAGTTGAATTTTTTATCAAAACTTTTAACACGAAATATTTTTAAATAGCCCAAATTGAAACTTACCATTCATTAATTATTATGGAAAGTTTGCAATTGTATGTATATAATACTCCCCCCGTCCAATATAATTTGTCTCTATTTTTTATTTTCGTCCGTCCCACATCATTTATTCTTTCTTTTTTTGTAAAATTGATTATACACTTTAATCATATTTTACTATATAATAATTATTTTTACTAACACATTTCTTAATTACTTACTAATTCTAATTTATATAAATGTTCGTATCTACAGTAATAGGCTCATATTAGTTAGAAGGAAGGGAATACAATTAGCTAGTTAAAACAAGAAACAATAATATATTATTATTATTATTATTATTATTATTGTATGAGCATGATTAATTAATTAAGTCATGTAAAATAAAAATAATTTAAAAACCATAATAAATGTGTGAATATATATATTTGCATGCAGAAATACGTAGAAATTGATGTATGTATGTTATGTTAGTATGTAATGAATTAAATAGTACCAACTTAAGTATGAATCGAAATGTCGGCTGGTGGATTTAATACTATTATTGGAAATCTAGTCATGAATGCTTCAATGCTACGTGGATCTCACGTGTGCCTCACGTGGATCCCTTTTTGTTTATTTAATTTAACTTATTTATCTATTTATTAATATGGATGGCTATAAAGTTTCTAGCGTGGTTTGTGATCAATGTCGATTCATCAACATCAACCCAATCATAAAAATAAATAATTAAATAAATAATATTAATCCAATCATATATAAATCAATTAATTTATATTCATTCAATCTTCGATCCAATCCACTTTTATCCTTTGTGGAATATCATTTCACACTCAATTTTATTTTAATCATTTCAACCATTTTTTAAAAAAAATCCTATTAATTTAATTTAACTTTGAATATATATATATATATATAAATTGCAATTTTAAAATTTATTTTAATATTTGAAGTAGTCCTCCTCGTCTATTGACTTCCAATTTATAAGTTGAGTACTTTGTCGAAAATCTATATATGAAAATTATTTAAGCTAAAAGATGGATCGAGCATTGATAATTTCAATTGATTATATATTCTCAAATTCATATTTCATTATATTTACTCAATTAATTATATTTGTCTTCAACCCCGTCAATGGAAGTCTACCGTTGATCTTTATTAATGTTTGAATGTGAATCTAAATTTTCTATTTTAATTATAAAAAATCATATATATATATATATATTTATAGTTGCAAACAAACTGTCAAATATTTCAATGACAACATTTAGACGGTTTCAGTAAAGTAACTATTTACTCGCACTATTCAATTAAATGTATATATATATTTTTTTAAAGATTAAAAAATAATAATATTTTGTTTGTGTATAAAAATATATGAAAATATTCATAATTTATATAAAATTATTTTAATATTAATATAAGAGTTATTTTTATTATTTTCTCCGTCCCCTAACCAAGTATTCATTTTTCCATTTTAATCCGTTTCATAACAAAGTATTCATTTTTTTAGTAAGGGTATTATCTATTTAACATTACAAATCCCCTTACAACTTACAATATACTACACAAATGTCATTACCTTTATATCATATATACTAATAAGGTTATTTTAGTTATTTCTATTTTATTCATACTACATCCAAATATAATACTAATATTTCTAAAACCACGTGCAAAAACAAATAAATATTTAGTTACGAGAGGGATGGAGTATAATAGAAAAACATAGAATAATATAGAACATACGAAAATGATTATTTATAGGAATTTGATTGTGACGAAGAAATTATATATATATATATATATATATATATAAGGGGATGGATCATATGCTAATAAAATGTGTTTGATCTAGATTTGAATAATAAAAAATTTTAATAAAAATTTTGAATTAAAATTATTGTTTGATAGAATATAAGGATTTGTTTATTTAATTTCAAAACCCCAAGTTTTACTATTTAAACTTTGTGTTTTCTGAAAAAAAAAAATAACCTTTTTATTCTCACAAAACATCTCATTATTTTTATTTTAATACCAAACTTAAACCAAAATTTTTCAAACTACATCAAAAGAAATATACCCTAAATAAGTGTTGATATGATATTTAAATATAATATTAAAAATATATTTTATTTATTTTTTAAACAAAATGATAAAAATAGTGAGAATGCACCAAAATCATTCACAAACCAACAAATTCCAAGATTGTGTTTAATTGATTATATTTTTTTTATTATTGTTTTAAGTTCCGATAAAAAAAAATAAAAAATTAAGTGATGAAATCTTAGTGGGCCTCTCTCTCTCTCTCTCTCTCTCTCTCTCTCTCTCTCTATATATATATATATATATGGTATGAATCTGATGATGATGAGCGCATGCATCTTTAATAATTATTATTATAAATCATTGGATTAGTTAACCAGGATAATATTATATATTATTTTATTTAATCATACAAAAAAAGGCATTATGTAACATTCCAAGTTGTGCTAATTTGATATGACATTGGATCATATGCATTTAATATTATTATTCATTTTTCTTTTTCTTTTTTACATAAATATCCATATCAAATGATAACTTCAAAATGTGTAAACCGAGCTTATGTTTAAAGAACTTAAAAAACAATAAAAATTAATAGAAAAAATATTTGATGAGATATAAATACTTATTGAATATAATATTTTATATGAAAAATTATTTTTTAAATAATATATGTGCTATTTTGAAGAATTTGTTCTTAGTAACTAAAATCAAAACTTTCAAAAATTATATTTAAACTATGCCATAGTACTTTATTATTATTATTATTATTATTATTATTATTATGTGGACTGGATGCTCACATCTCAAAAAATTGAAAGAGATAAGAAGAATGCATGCATTGGTAACTTTTGGGCTATATTTGATTTATATTTGCATATATTTTTTATATTTAAATTCTCTTGATAGGGCTCTGATCTTGCAACCGAGTTGCTAAATATATTTTTTTTATATAAAATAATTTTTTTTAAAAAATATATATCAAAGTGAAGAAAAATAAATACCTCAGTCATCCAACATAAATGTATAAATATTTTATTATTTTTTTATCACATATAAATATATATATAATTTTCATATTAATATCAGAATATTTTAAATTTTCATAAAAATTATAAACATGTTAATAATAATTAATGAATTCTTAATACTAATAAAATATTATTATTATTATTTAAACGATTAGTACAATATATGTGTAAAATGGTGGAAGTGATTGTTGTGAAAAAGACTGCGCGCCTATCTGTGTGTGAAGCGAATATTTAATCTTAATTAATAGTAGTAATTAAATAATAGTAATAATTAATAATAATAACGATAATAGTAATAGACGAATGAGTGGGTCCCAATCAATATTCTGATTCACACACCAACCCACTTTAACCAATCCTACCCTACCCCACACAACCGCCCATATATAATAAAAAATATTCATCCATTTAGTCAAATTTATTATTTTTTTAATTCCTATATTAAATTTACTTTTTTTATTAATTTTTACAAAACTAACAATTATCACACCCTTACATTATTTGTTTTAATATTAATTTTTAATTAAAATTTCAAAAATATTTTTTAAATTATTTTTTATTTTTATTATTTTTTACTCAAATATATTAATTTTATTGGACAAAAAAATATTATTTTAATAAAATTATGATTATTTTTGTTGAATTTTTTTATAATACTCAACTATTCATCAATTATTTTTCCATAAAATATCAAATTAAACTTATATATTTTAAATATTTTAGTATAAAATAAAAATAATTTTATATATAAAATATTACATCACCAATTATTAATATTATAATAATTATTCAAATTTATATTTCCTCCATTCTTTTTATCAAAAAAATATTTATATTTCAATTATATTTTAAATTTTATAATTTATAATTTTTTTAATTTTAATTAAACAAATTATTTATTTTTATTTTAATTTATAATTATTGATATAGTATTATAATTAATTTAATGATACATTTTTATTTATTTACTAATAACATTGTTTCTAAATTCTCTTCTCGTATATACAATACCCACGATAGAGACGAAAGAGTAATTTTTACTATTCAAAACCTGACCAAATACAATTATATACTATTTATGTCAACTATCAATTTATTAATTTATATTTTGTATGTAAATTTTACTTTTCCATCGATTCCACATAAGATATTCATTTTTTTTTTTCATTTTAATTCATCTTACATAATTTGTTTTTTTTTATTTTATATAAATACAATATTCATTTTAATCACATTTAAAGTTTGTTTATTTACAAATTCATCAGGAAGTTTCTCTCAATTCCACATCATCATTTCACTTTTCCAACTCAACAAAAAATTGCATATTTATATTTATATCAACATAATTTATTTGAAAATTTAATTTAAATAAAAATATATCAATATATATATTATTTTGTAGAAAAAAATTTATATAATACAATAATATAAAAAATAATAAATAAATAAATATAAAATGAAAAATTTGAGGGCGTTTTTGATTGCTCTCTGTGGCAACCCAAAAGTCATTTTATATTTTTTTTAAACTCCCAAAAATGCCACAATGGAAGCCACTTATGGAGGAGAGGTTTCTTTCTGTTGAGAGAAACAAACTAGTGATGTGGATGACCTTAGTGTTTAAATTTAATATGTACTTTGATGTGTGAGATATAAAAAATTGTATAAATAATATAAAAAAATAATATTTTATATTAAAAATAATAAAGTAAAATATATTATATATATATCAGCAATGTGTCGAAAAAAAATAGTTGGAAGAAAATATATTTACCCGGAACAGTTATGAATATATTTACCTAACTAAGAACTTCATATTCCTCCCAAAACTCCATAGGATGCAAACACATCATCTCAACATGATAGCGCAATCAGATTAGCTACCAGTGTAGTGTACTCATGTAATCCCTACACCATATAATTTAAATTCTGCTAAAACAATAATATCAAATCTTCATTTAAGAAAACAAATTCAGCAACCATTTTTTAATTTCAAACATTACATATTTTGCATTACAACATTTTCAAATATCACAAAAGTCTATAATTTCACCTACCATAACTATATTCAACAATAGATTCAAACCTTCTAAGCTTTTAGTCAAGTTTATGCAATTTGGACTCTTCGTTTTACGGGGCAAAAAGTTTACTTTTTTCTTTTCCAAATAAAATCCAAACTGAAAAGAAACACCAGAAATGTATCAATTAAACTTAAATCCAACCTCACAACATTGATGCAAACAACACAATTCAACAAAAGGGATATGCATACACACACAAAGACTGTTTACTTTTAAATTTTAATTTATTATTATGTAATCTTTACGCTACCCTAGAAAAACATATTCTTTTCTTTCACAAAACATAATATTTAATCATTTTTTGAAACCAAGAAACACAACATTAATTTAATACCTCATATGATCAAAGGTCTGAGAGATCCAGCAATTGAGGAACACATTAGTGCGACCATCTGATTAGATAAGACACATTCAACAAACCTGCATAAATCCAAAATCTGTTCAAAGAATTAGTGCATCTCCTGAATAACAAAATATTTAAAGTTAACATTTCTTGAAAATAAGATATCATATAATAAAAGATTCTAAAACATATATAAATGGATATTATTTAATTTCATCATATCATACCTTCAGTATATGGGAAAGGTAAGGTAAGTAAAAGGCCAATCACCATATTCTTCACCACAACAAAACATATATATGAAACAATATGCAAGAAGTATATATCTATATATATAAGTATATATATATCATTTCCTTCAGCAGACAAAGCATAATAAAAACTGCAAACAAGATACTTAAATAAAGTATCAATCTTCTTCTTCAACCTACAAACCACCAATCCTTCTTACATTCATTCATTCATTTCATACAAACCTAGCTTTTCACTTCACCTCCCTACCCTTTCCATTCAGGGCCAATTGTCCGTCTATCCCCCCCACCTGTTCATCACTCGCCTAAAGGCAGGAAGCCCAGAGGCATCGAGTTTATCTAGTCAATCCTCAAGGATCATTGACAGCAGCAATCCTTGAACAAAGTTGCTTTGCTTTGTTTTCTCTTCCTGGTCTTTGATGGACATGGGTGCCAGTCGTGCTTTCCTGAAAATTGTATTCAAATTGTATGAAGAGGTTCAACGAGAGGGAGATCTAAGAATGAATACAACCTTCTATGCGTGGAAGAATGCATAAAGTCATAATCAATTTTTTCAGTGCCCAAACATAACACAAAAAGACTAAGTAGAGCTCGATAATAACCATCACTGAAAATAGGGTTGGAAAGCCAATTCAAATTAGTAGAAAGATTTAGTCAGCAATCCTCGGTTTTGCCCATTTTGGCATCAATAACGACACGACAAACAACAAGATCACAAGAGAGAATATTTTACACATAAGCAACTCATTACCTTTCTGAAATGCCATTGATTGTACTTTTCTTGATGGATGTTGGATCAGCAGAAGGGCGCAACGACTTGTTTTCATAATCTTCAACAGATGGGAAAAAATCACTTGATAGGACGCGGGCTCGGGATCCGTCTCTTGATGAAGCTATGCAAGAGGACCCTCCCAGATAGGACTGGAAGTTCCCTTCTCTCAGTTCCCCCCTCAACAAAGAAAGTGTGGAATTGGAACTAGGTTTTCGAGGTTTTCTCTTGCACTGCACGTGATCTCTAGTCAAGGAGCTCAACGTGAATGATGAAGTTCTTGTATGGTATAGAACAAAATTTCATGTGAATTAAAAGACAATGATTTGACATAAATGCAATTCCATGCTTTCAAAATGTAGCAAAATTATTGTTCAAACTTTGTCTGTCAACAAAATATTTGAGGAACAGCAAATGAATCACATAAAAAAAAAACCACCCGAACTCAAGAATGCCGGTAAAAGGTGGATGTAACTAACAGAAAAAACCGCATACAACAAGAACACTAAACACTAAAAGTCAGAGTAAAAAAGGATATCTTAAAGATATTCCCATGCTGCATGGTTATGTGAGGAACCATGTCTTCACCCACCCTAATCTCACAAATGGGACACTCCTGAAAGTGCAATATCTACGAGTGAGCAAGACATAAAATCAAAGACACTGCTAAATAAACATGTTCAAGTTAATTTTAATTCAATATAAGTTACACATAAAACAGATCAAGAAAATATACTATTTCAGAGCAAGATATCACTAGTCATACACAACCTTACTGTCTCTCCCCAGTCACATACCAGACAGAGCGAACAAGAAGAATAAAGGCTCACTCACTCAAGTAAACTGTTAACTACAGTCTTCCACATAATGTCAATTGTTCACAAATCACTAGAAAAACCAATCGTTTCACAAATCACTAGAAAAACCAATCGTTTCACAAATGCTACATCCCCACAAACAAGCCAACCAACACCATAACAAACATATATTCGACATGTGTTCAGCTTCATAAACGCTATTCGATAATGCATATCCAGCATGTTGAATCAGCTTAACACATTTAATGCAATTATATATATATATATACATATTCATTTTTTTATTTTTTTATTGTACTTCTAATGATTATGGAATAGTTGTTTGAGCCACAAGAGAGGGATACCCCTTCCGAGGCCTCAGCAGGATGCTCATCTTCAATGTGGCAAGATAGTCCCACAAAGTCAAAATAACCCGAACAAAAAGGGCACTGATATTCCTCCCTCATATCATCATCCACCTGAATTTCATCAAACCTCATCATCTGTTCAGCACTGAACTCATCCCATTTCATTCCTGAAACATAATACACACGAATATATCATAAAGGAAAATGAAGCGCAATATATAAAAAAGTTCGTAAATCCCATCGCTAGCTTCTCTATCCAACAACCAAAAAAATAAAAGTCATACGGTTCATCAAATTTCACCCTACAACAAACCCTAGATATGAAAAGGAATCCAACACTTAACACTAAATTCACAACGAGTGAACCTCACCGTTTCGGAACAGCGATTTTCAATTAAAATCAAATCAATTAAACCAGTAATAGGATGAGGCGTTCACCCGATCGCGACCGCAGAGCAGAGTGATACCGCCTAGATGCAGAAGCGAGACGAGCTGCCCAAGAATTAGCATCCATGGCTTCCCCTCTTGTATCAAATCTGAGCTTTCCTTCTTCGCAGCAGCTAATTGAGGTATTCAAGGACGGGCGTCGAACCTTGAATCCTTGCTCAGAGACTTCCTTTATGTGTGAGAAACGGATCCGATTGAGACTGCGAGGACAGGAAAGGAAAGGGAGGTGAGCAGAGCAGAGGTCCTTGCGAGGTGAAATTGAAGTCCACCCGATAGGAAAAGGAAAAGAAATGAAAATGTTCAGCACAGGTTTATATATAGGGCTTGGAGCAGTGCCCAGCGAAATTATGTAGAATCCGGATATGCTTACATTGACGTATAAATGAAAATTTCTCCATTTTTCTTTGTTTGTTTGGTAAGGTAAAATTTGAACTTTTTTTATTTATTTATTTATTTATAAATGAACAGAGAAAAAATAAATATTGAAAAATGATTATAATTTTGTAAAAAAATTATATTTCTTTTATTCATATAAAGCGTTTATTTTTAAATTTTAAAATATGATTCTAATCTAGTTTTCGTATTGTGTTAATTTAATATGCTTAAAATGTTGTATAAATTTTTAATTTTTATATATTTTTTAATTCAATGTTGAACTATGGACTTAATTAAGTAACCCATCCAATTATTTCTTATTGATACCGTTATTGAGTAACGATGGATATTGTTAAAAACTGCTATTACAATATATATTGTTCCATAAGGTTGAACGAGTGTGATGATATTATTCCATTATTTTTTATATGAATAATAGTATTGATATTTTAAATATTTTTAAATTATATTTCACTAATATATATACAAATAAATAAATAAATAATTTAATTATATATAAACAAATAAAATAAATTTATTTATTAATTTAAAATTAATTTCATAAAAAATAAAAATTTAAGTATATATAAACAAATAAAATAATTTATAGTTGTTAAATATATTTAAAATAAATAAATTTACTAAAAAATAAAAAATAATAATTTATCTTTTATAAGACCAAAAAACAGATGAGTTTATAATATAAATTCCATCAACCTATCAATAAATTCAATACAAATATTAATTTTATATTTTTGGTCCATTTCACGTGACAACTAGAAATAAGGGATGTGATTGCTTTTCATTTTTACAATTTCTATTTCACATAGTAATATCTTTTTTTTTTTTTTTTTTTTTAAATCACATCAAGCAATATTCAAACTAACATTGGTGAAACATCTATGCAATATATTCTTTACGATTTCTCTATTTTATTTTATTTTTATTATTAAAAATTATAAAAATATTTATATTTATTTTTTAGTATTTTTTATTGAAAACCACTCCAAACACATACTAAATTTCATTTTTGTTATTCAATAATTTTTATATATAATATATAAAAATATTCATATAATTCAATATACTTATAATCAGTTATTTACACCCTATTTTAACATTTAAACGTCATCCTAACATATAGTACTTCAATATATTTTACATGATTCAATAAATATGTTCATACTTCACATAGGTCATCAATTTTTTTCATACAGTTAGTTAACCAACACAATTATAATTCTAATATCATGCCTCGAAAAGAAAATAAATATAAAAATAAAATTATATATAAATAAATAAATATGTTAAAACAACAATAATCCTTTTCTTTCAACAGTAGAATTCAGCAACAAAAGACTATCATCAGCAAGGGCAAAAACTAGAGCAAATCAGCTCCATCTTTCCATCAATGGCTGCCATCAACATTACATCTCTACAGAAAACTTGCATAGCAACAGAGTACACACAGGACGAGACTCGAAATTTCGACAAAGTTAAGAGGTCGTCGTCGTCAGTGTGTATAATAAAGCGAAGATCAGACACCACCAATGTAATGTTTCGAAAGAATGGGGCAAAAATAATGAAGAGGTCATTACAACAACAAGAAGACAATAGCTAACCTTTGAATCGCTTGCGGAACATTGGGATGAGATCAGATTTCGTCAATTTCAGCTCCATCGTTAATCTCTGGAAAACGTAGGCGAGAGTGTGGACATCTGATAGAGCTCTGTGTTCCTTGCCCATCAATGGAATGCCGTAGTGCTCGCGTAGGTATTGCAGGTTTAGTTTTGAAGGAACTTTCAGTCCTGACAACCAAATGTAGCACAAATAAATTTAACAGTACATATAATATATATATATATATATATGTGGGCGAGGAGTTGCGGTTACAGTGCTGAATTTAAAATTTAAAATTTAGTGAACAACATCCAATATACTAACAAACAAAGCTGACAGCACATTTATTTATATTAATATAATACAAAACTAACGGCATATATTTTAGTGTGTTGTTTTGAAAAATTAGCACGATTACAAATCAGCAAGTAACTCTTCCCGTGGGAGAGGTTATTAGCATACTGATTTCCTCAGACAGTACATCATAAATAGACAGACAATATATATTTTCAATTAACAATGTGCTAGTTGAAATCATGTACTGACAGTTCTATTTAAAGGATGTGGCATATTTTATACGATAAAATCAATGATAGTATGTATTGGGTGGACAAATGCAAAACCTTTATCCTTCAAGGCACGGGCCAGATCAAGGGTGTCGCCAAATTCCCAATCTTTTGGAAACTCATAGTTGCAGCGCTCGAATTCCCTTTTCAAGAAGGGAACATCAAATTTGCGAGCATTGTGAGCGACCAGAATCACAATTCCACCAGGTTGCTGGCGGCTTTTGATGTACTCCAGCATGATTGGAATGAGGTTCTTCATCCTACAGCATCGAGGAAGGATAATACGATTGCATATGTTAAAATTGGAGAGTTCGAACATATACAAACAATTATCTAAATTTAAATAAAGATGGATGCATACAAACACAATTTCAGATCCATATGTAGTCTAGAATACTTACATATAATAACAAATAATCAAGTTCCGATAATTATAGCTATCTACATTCATTTTTAAACAAATTTGTGCACACACAAACACTTCGAGACATATTTTCTAAAACCCAAATGGTATTTGATATCCGCTCTAGCATCAAATTATTGTACAATATAGATATTAATTTCGAGAAATCATCATTCAATACATTTATACATACTAAAACACATAGATGATATTTTATATCAAATTACAAGTGCACTGAAACAAAAAGAAAGTGGATGTGTCCCTAGCAGAACTGAAGTGGGATTTAAATATAGCACAAAGAAACACCAACATTGATATTCAAAGCAGTCTATGTGCAACGATAATATGATAATCATTGTATTCTATATCAACATCACAAATCAGAAATGTCTCTTATAATAAGAAAGTAAATATTTTACAGAATACCTGGGTACGTCACGACTTCTAACCATCTGAGAAGAAATGCCATGAATTGCTTCAGCGCGCTTGGGCACATCACGCTCGGGATTTACCAGAGTCTGAAAAGTGCTATTTTGACCCCCTCGAAGATCCTGGAAAGCAATCTCGACTATCCTATGTTGTGCACTATTATACCCAGTTGTTTCAATATCAAAACAAATAATCGTTGCTAGTTTGGCTATCTCTTCGTAATCCTGATCCGACTCTATTTCAGTAGACTCTGCTTCACATTTATTCAAGTTGGCCTTCGTGCGTCTTGAAATGACATTATCTCCAACAGCTTTTTTTCTGCGGCTCGGTACCTTGGTTTCTACTAATTTATACCCATCTATATCACATCCTTTGTCAATTAAGCCCTCGTTGTATCCTTCTGCTTTTGTAATTATTGTTCGCCTACTCCACTTCCCATTGGGCCATCCTTCAGGATCATGGCTGGTTGAACACAGAATCCTGTAACTGGAGCTGCCCGAGTTATAAAAATTTTGCAACCAGGATTGAGCTAACGAATGAAGTCTGCATCTTGGAAATTGCATGAGAGAGAAACACATTGCAGACATTTTCATCCCATCCAGAGTGTAATCACAGTGCTCTATACCCAACTGGAGAACAAATTCAATGTTTAACCGGCATGAGGTGCGGAAAAGAGTGTTATAATCAGCAATTTATGGAAATGTGCTATTTTACGAAATAAAAGGATAGCATTTTTTCTCATAGAAATTTATTAGTAGTGCCTAGTTACAATCATGAAACGGGTAGAAAATCCACACTATATGCCTATACAAATTTCTATTGCAAGATTTATTACAAATTAATAAATTTTATCATAAAATGTGATATGTGAACTAATACTATTAAATTTGACATACTACTTGAGACAGCAGTAACACATTCAAGATGCACTCTACAAACGCCACTTCGAAACAGCAGATCAAGATGTTTTTTAAAAAACAAAAACAGAAGTCCAAGAAAACATCATATCACTCAAAATTACAAAATGTAAACAAAAAGATGTATATCAATGACAAGAAACCACATAAGAACTAAACGAATGGTACAAAATGTATCAAAAAGCAACGGCAGAGTTGAGCATAAAACTCCCACGTATAAGATTATATTCACTTATTCAGTAAGATATGCATAATAAACTCGCAGAAGAAACAATTTGCCTCTAAATATAACAGCTACAAAGGTAAGAGTTATTTCTACCAAAAATAAGAATCAACTCCAACCAAAAGCTACTCCAGATACTGAGAATTGGTTATGTTATGATATATATGTCCCCAGAAATATGAATAATTTTCCCTACGAAGAACACATCGTTAGAAACATCAAGTTTACCGATAAAAACCAAAATATAGACATTACACCATTCTTTAATTTATCAAGATTGACAGAAAGTGAAACATGGAATGCTAAATTATAATTTGAACCAGAAAATTCAACCACACAGGAGCCCAAAGAACCAACCCTAAATTATCCAACAAACTTACCCTCATACACAAGTCTCAGAAATCGAAAATGGCGCCACACACACAGAGAGAAACAAGATAAGCAATTAAATTATTAAAGAAAAATCAGTTAAACCCCCAAAAAGGGGGCGCGAAAGAAGAAGCATGATCTAACACAGAAACAACCAAGATACCAAAACAATTCATAATCCAACGGCACAAAACAAATCCAAAATGAACAAATAAATTTACATATGAAAGGGGGAAAAGACCCACCAGATGGTGCTTGATCGAAATGCGCGGCGCTGGCGTCTAAAACAATCTCGAAAATTCAATGGATTGCCATGTGAGTAGGCATTGGTATGTGCGGAACAACAGATGGGTAGATTGCAGAGAGAGCAAGGAATTATTGGGCGAAAACATGCAGCGGGAGTTAACCAAATCAATTTTAAAGATAAAGCAGATTAGTGTATATATACAGAAATAGACATATGTGCGTGCGTGATTTAAATGAACGGGAAATGAAATTGAAATGCATTTGAAATTCAGCCCAGAAAATGCGGATCGTGAGATCCAGTTCCAATTTGGTCTCGCACTCCACTGCGGGGTTAAAACCGTCTTTTCATATGTTACCAATTTATTACACCGATTAATAAGGTGTTGGAAAATAGTTTATTGAAAGTAATAGGGTTAGTTTGGATTGAAATCTATTACTATTATACACTATATTTGTAATTTATATAAAATTAAAAATATTATAATATTTATATATAATTATTTTTATAATAATATAAAAACATATTTTTGAATTGAAATGTATAAAATAAAAAATATATATATACATTTAATTGCGAATAACTAAAAGAATGAATATTATTTTTTTAGTAAAATTTTAAATAAAAATATATAATTAACTTTTTTTAAAAAATATTATATCGGATTATTATTTAAATAAAAAAATAAAAACAACATTTTATTTTAAATTAATATTAAATCACAACCCAACAATACGTAACAATCTACATTATTTACTTATGCAGATTACTGGACTATTAGTACAATTTCAAGCCTTGTTCATACATATCTACTTTCATACCATATTGCAATATACATACACCATATTATAATTATTTACATTATTTTTTAGACGTGTTACATTATATGTTAATTTATTAAGATTTTTATAATCTAAAAACCTAATAAATTTTACTTATAAACAAATAAACCTAATAAATTACATAATATAAATCAAGAAAAAAGTCACAACTTTATTATAAATTATTTGAAAATAATAATTTTTTTAAAAAATATGTAATATACAAATATAAAATAAGCAAAAATTACTTAACATCTTTATATGTGAATATTTATCTAATATGGTAAAAATTATTTTGATATTAAAAAATAAATTTATTATAGAGAAATATAAAAACATATAAAAACAAAAGATTTTATCATGAAAAAATAAATTTTGGAGTGTGGTGTTAATTAATTTTTGTAATCTAAACAACTGAAGCCCATCTACAAAATAAGGCCCACATACAGCCCAACTATGTTCACAGGCCCAACCAATGGTGAGAACCCTAATTTCACATGTACATATAAATACCGCATGAACCCTAGTTTTGCATTCGACACCGACCGGAGATCAGACCTCGATTAATCTGACTGGGAAGGCTATGGCAGTGGAGGCGGCGACGCAACCTAGCAAGCTGAGGTGGGGAGAATTGGATGAAGACGATGGGGAGGATTTGGATTTCCTGCTGCCGCCGAAGCAGGTGATTGGACCCGACGAGAACGGGATAAAGAAGGTCATTGAGTACAAGTTCAACGACGAGGGGAACAAGGTGAAGATCACCACCACCACTCGCATACGGAAATTGGCCAACGCTCGGCTCAGCAAGCGCGCTATCGAGCGCCGTTCGTGGGGAAAGTTCGGCGACGCGGCGCACGAGGACGCTGGCAGTCGCCTTACCATGGTTTCCACCGAAGAGATTCTTATGGAACGCCCAAGAGCACCTGGTAAGTGCGCCGATGCACTCTTCTATTTGTTTTTTCTGAATTTAGATTTGCAAATACTTGTTGAAGAGTGCATTCATTCGTAGATCCCAATCCGTTTGATTTAAGTGGAACGATAGAGTATTCATTATATTGTTATGTGATTAGATGTTCACTTAGTCGTATCTTTTGATTATTTTTCTAGCAAGATTGAAATTCAATTATCAGTAAATGCAAATTTCTATCAAAGTTGCAAGTACCTGGAAATCCAATTCGTTTGATTTATAATTTAGGATCAGTAGCGTATCAATTATGTTGTTACGTGATTAGATGTTCACTTAGCAGTCTCGTCAATTGATTATTTTCTAGCAAAGTTGTAATTACCTTGAATTCAATTCGTTTGTTTTATAGTTTACAGTCTAAGTCGAACCGTGATTTAATGATCTCTTACTCTTATCATTTGATTATTTTCTAGCAAAGTTGAGATGTTTGATGACCCTTTCTTATACAACAAGAAGACCTGCATGTTCCCTTTATTACTAGAATCATCAATTGTAACCAAAGAGAGAAAATTAATTCATGAAAAGTAGCATCAAACACTGGTTCTCATTCTAGTTTTCTTCCTTCTTCCATCATCACTATTCTACACTTTATCCCAATGTAACATATTTAGAAGGCCTAGATTCAATACTAATACTTGGTAGATTCGGACTGTGTGGATTCATCTAGTCTATTTACATCAAGCCCAAATTGATACCGATCTTATCACATGCTCTATACATATTCTTTTCCATTTCCATATTCAAACTCCTTCGAACAAATGGATGTAAAAACAGGTACTAAAGCTGAGGAAGTCAAAGTAGCTGGAGATCCACTGGCCCAAATGGGTAAAGGAGGTGCTGTACTCATGGTTTGCAGAACCTGTGGGAAGAAGGGCGATCACTGGACATCTAGGTGCCCTTACAAGGATCTTACGCAGCCACCGGAGACCTTCATCGACAAGCCACCGACAGAAACTGCCGCCGCAACAGGTTCCACCAAATCTGCCTACGTACCCCCCAGCATGAGGGGAGGAGCCAACACTGAGAGGACCGGCACCGACATGAAGCGCAGGAACGAAGAGAACTCTGTTAGGGTTACAAATCTCTCTGAAGACACCCGTGAACCCGACTTACTCGAGCTTTTCCGTCCTTTTGGCGCTGTCAGCAGAGTTTATGTAGCTATCGATCAAAAGACTCAGATGAGCAGAGGGTTCGGTTTTGTGAACTTTGTTAGCAGGGAAGATGCCGAGAGAGCTATAAACAAACTGAATGGCTACGGATACGACAATCTTATCCTTAGAGTCGAGTGGGCTGCGCCAAGATCGAATTAATTCTTTTTTACCAGCCTAACATTCCTCTTGTATTTTTGCAGCTGCTTTCGATTCTGGCTTGTTCCCGTCTTATTGCAACCAATAGCTGCGAAAGTGTATTTGAGGCTGTCCATATTATGTTGGAACTCTGTTGTCGACGACTTTCAACTGTCGGATGGGATCATAATGATCATTATTACCGGCAGGTGATGATGATTTTTGTTTTATTACTTGAATGGTGGAATATACTAAAGTATTTGCTATGAGTTGAAGTATTGATTTCCCTTGTTATGTTTGACGTTGATTTCATCTTCTTCTTCTTCTTCTATGTGGTTTTTATATACTATAGTTGGTTATTGTTTTAGACTTTAGGTAGATTTTGGAAATTAGTATTTGATTTATGCTTTTTTAGAAGAATTATTATTGTCGATGAGTATGCGGAGCTTTCTAGCAAAGCAAAGCTTTATGGTGAATTTCTTCAAGGTTTAAATATCTGTGGTTACCATAAGAAACACATTGTGAGTTTCTTTAGGTTTTTAGGATTTGTTTGATTTTTATTCAAAATAGGTATTAATTTAATTTTTTGCTTAAATAGTAGCATTAAAATACAGTATTAACCTTTACAGTAATGTAAAATTTATATCTAAAATATAAACAAAACATATTTATTGTATGTCAAACAAAAGCTACTAAAACATTGTGAAGTTACAAAATTATATGCTTCTTGCCAAATTTCAAATATATAATGTTTAAAACTACATATAATAAACAATGCCAAAAGTTATATGACGAGTTTAATTAAAAATAAAATTATATCTAATGCTATTTTTCACTTAAAATTTTTAAAAACAATAATAATAGGAGTATTAAACGATGAAATAAAGAAGCGCGCATGCAAAGCGACACGTGTAGATCACGTGCGCCTCTTTGGCGGGCGCTAAATCGTCAAAATAGAAATTCATGCCCTTTTAGGTAATTTCACATTCCCAATTAGGGTTTATGATAACCCACTCTCTTTCTCATCGATTTTCCTCTTTTCCCTTTTTTCGTCCCTTAAAATTTTTTTCCTTCTCGAATTCACCATCGTTTTGGAGTGTTGTGAATTTCTCCGGCAGATTCATCGACGCCGAGCGGTTAGCTTCGACGGAACCGCAAAGCCTTCTTTCCAAACATTTTCAGATTCGAGATCAGCAGCATTTCCGTGTTCTATCACTAGTCTTCTGCAGCTCGATCGTTTAGGAAAGGAATCGAGAGGAATTATGGAATCTAGCGAGAAGCTGGGAGATGAAAAGGTATGTTACCTCGCACGATGAAGCTCAACTCATTTCGTTGCAACGCAACTGAGTTTCAGGAGACTGAGCACTCCGTCATCTCATCTCGCCGAAGCATCGATCCGATCCATCCGCCTTGTTTGATTTTGCAGCGCGAGTGCTTGTCATCGCCGCCGCCGCAAGGATCGATCATCGAAGCAGCAGCAGAAGCAGAAGCAGAAGCAGCGGAGATGAACAAGTGCTGCTCCATTTGCAAAACAACGAAGACGCCTTTGTGGAGGAGCGGTCCTTCAGGCCCCAAGGTTTTTCAATCCTACTGGTTTTCATCCTTCAATTTCTTCAATCAAAACCTTCATATGCCTTATGCTACTAACTAATTTCAAAAAACACTAATCCTCACCTCATCTGGTGTCGTGTATCCACTCCAGACCTTGTGCAATGCTTGCGGGATTCGGTACAGGAATAAGCGTCCGACTCCGAAGGGGAAAAGTACGATTGGGAGTGGGAGAGGTAGGGATTTGAAGGCGAGGGAAAGGTTGAGGCCGATGATGGCGGCAAAGGAGGAGGCTGCTGGGCAGGGATCGTCTGCGACGCGGCTGCGCAGGAGTCGTGCTCCTGCCCAATGGGGTGAGGTTGAGAGAGCTGCCCTGCTTTTGATGGCTCTCTCCTATGGTTGTGGTACACTCACTGCTAACTAAATCCCATTCCCATTCCCATCACCAGATTCACCACTACTCAATATTGTTATCATTTAGGTCTCCCAACTAGAGTCAAGATTCAAGAACCTTTGTTGTTGATGATGATGATGTATAGGGTTAAGGGTAAGATTAGGATTCCTTTTTATTTTTATTTTTTGAAGGTAGGAATAGGAGAGGAGGGTAGTGTAAATATTGGGGAATGATATCCTTGTGGTTGACCTGTGATGTTATTAATAAAATGGGATTGGGACATTATTGCCTCGATATATATTATTATTTCGAACTTAATACCCTGCAAATTAGACTTGTCAGGCAAGTTACTGTATATCTGAAATTTGAAACCATGATCTTACGGTGCTATGCAAATAGAATAAACTCATGTAATAACTTACAAATTATACCAATAAAATAAGTTATGTTTGGCATATTCATCATTATCATAATAATAAAACTGACTTTACAGTAACAAGTTCATTCCTAAACATTATTGCCACGTTTGATGAATCATTACTTTGCCTCTATATATTCTTGAATGATTGGGGCCCTTTTTTAGGGAGGGTTGGACTTTGGGGTTAACTAATGATGCATATGTGATGGGGTCGTTAGGTTGATATTTTATTTTATTACATTATGGTGTTACAATTAAGTGAATCATCATGGTCAGTTTCGACACATTTTCTTTGGCAAGCAATGGGCCTGGATCATTTTTGGTTGATATTATATTGTTATGCTCCAATTACACATATCTTATACTTAAAAATCCATATATCTAATTGGACTATAAAGAGCTACCAGATCAAAAAATCTTTCCCTCTCCTAATATATAATCAACACATATAATCTAAACCCCATTTTCGGAGCTGCACAGAACTCCGGACATTTTATCAAATTATTTGCAACTTAGCAAGATATAATCTAACCTGTGAGTCGAAGTGATCAAACAACCTCTTCTGATGGTAGAGAAGAAACCTGAAACAACAAACAGCTATAGCTGCAAGAAGTAAGAACCACATAAGCTAAATGGAACATTACTTACAATGGAAATCAAAACAGTGAACAAATCTATAGCTCTGTAAGTTCTTTAAAACCTGATTTTGGACAGGCACTATTCATTGAGTCATTTTCTCAAAAATTATCAAATCAAATACCTACTTCTCGTTACATATATTATACAAAATACAAAATTTCATTCATAATATCATATCAAACACCTAGGTTATATTACGTTAAATACTTTCACTTCAAAGTTGTACCATTTTCAAACCTAAATGTGTCCCAAACTTGGAAAGGAATTTTAGCTAGTCTCGAAACTTTTATCAAAGCCAACATATTCATAATAGCAATCAGAAAGTTGCTCACCTAACCAAACACTCTGAATGAAGTAGCAGAGAGGGCCCTCTAATGGCGAAGCCGAAAGTGATAATTTGTACGAGATAGAGACACAACAAAACATGCCATAGGCTTGAACATATATCCTCCATGCGACTTTTCCATCGCTGCAAAACACACACGTAAGCACAAAACATCATCAGATTCGGGTACATCACAAATCTACGACTGTTCAATACCAGATTAATCACCTCTTCTCGATGTAGTCTGTTTCTCTCCAAATAATTACCAACATGCAGAAAGTTAAGATATTTAGTCAATGAGAACACATCGTTTATGTAGCAGAATATCAAACTGCAAGCCCAGAAAGATCACATCCATTTGATCCCGGGCATCATAATAAAAAATGATCATGTCAAGAAGCATCAACTTCTTGCTTAAAATGAATATACCCACAGTAGTAGTTTTAACTTTCAGAAAATAGATGAAAGGGCCGAAACAAAGACACTAACTAATACAACGACGACAAAAACAGTATTAGATGAAAGGGGCAATATTTCTACTGTTATTCTATTTCCAGATTTATCATTAAATTCCAATAAACTGCACCATCAGGAGGACAATAAACATATTAAATAAGAACCACAAACATACATGAAAATCTGCTCGGATCACAGGTGACAGTTACAAAATGGCAGGGAAGTTAACAGTACTGTCAAAGGCATTACAGAAAGTATTATCTACAGATCTCAATGTTATGTGCTGAAAACACTCTTTTTAAAAGCACCTGCACCACAAGCTTTTCTTTTTATTTTTTCCCCGGTAGATACAAATGAAAGAACAGGTTACAACAGATTTGCAAACAAGTCAGAATCATAAAGCATAACGAGGAAAGCTTTCATAAATTTGGCACCAAATTTTATTTGTTCAGAGGAACTAAACATGTATAACTGATAACATTCTATGCAACACTTGCTTCAATAGCCTATCATTCCTTTTGAGAAACTGTGTTAGGCACAAGATTTTTGAAGCAAGAATGGCATAGAATTCTTCAAATGGCTATATCCTTATCATAACCTATGCACATAAAGTGACCGACCCATTCTAGGCTTTTGAGCTAAGGAAAAGGGGTTATAAACAGTGAAGGAAACACATTTTATAATACAAAGCTAACCTATTTTGTACAAATTGATACTGTATATAGTGGGAGAATTGCTTCTATATTCCTGTACCCCAAACTTGTTTGACCTTATTCACCTATGCAGCACCATCATCCACTTGTAAATCATCAACTGAAAGCTGTGACTCCATGTAATTAACCATGGGAACCCAAGCATGTCCACAGAGTATGTCAGGAAAATCACTCACTTGCAAGCTGTGAGTAAATGAAAAGTTGCACTCTTGCAATTGAGAACATTCCCCTATCTCAAAGGTACTAGTCCCTTTGTTATATCGATCCACTTCAAAGTCATCTGGCGAGGAAATATTTGAATGATGGTTGTTCATCTGCATTTCTAGTTGATCTGTGAAAGGGAGTATGTTTTCAATTACATCTACAAGAAAATAATAATCCAAAAACTGGGCATCATAGCCCCTTAAATGCGAGAAAGGACTAGTTTAATTACTCTACCATTGTCAACTTGGAAATGTGCATCCTGGATAGCCGAGGTTGGATGGCTAGAATTGTCGGCTGCACTGGTTAAAAGTGTTTGATAACCAACAAATGCCTGGTCACCAACTGAAACCCAATCCCCCTTATTTGCAAAAGCAGATGTCTTCAGCTCTTCCACCATTTTCTGTGAATAAAAGACATTAAGTTAAAGAACATCATAAATAGTGATACTTCTATACCAATATAATTTGATTTATCTTTTTTGGGGAAAGAACTTCGTAAATTAAAAGGATAAAGAGGATTACAATCGGAGGAACATACAACTTTGAGAGTTTGGAATCAGATATAGTGATAGATGTAGGTGCTGAATCTAGGACCTAATCGATCTGAAAATCTGTATAGCAGGACTGAACTGAAAATTACATCCTAATTCCAATATAATGTTACACAGCTTTCTATAGATCAAAAACTGCAATTATGCAGTGCTCCAATTGATATCATGATAATAAAAGGCTCAAGCACAACCAATTTTAGCAATAAAATTGTGCTGTATATTTGGTGTAAACATATTGGCTTATGAGTCTTCCCTAAGTCGAATTGTGATTTACGTTACTCCTAGGCTTATGCAGTGCTCCAATTGATATCATGATAATAAAAGGCTCAAGCACAACCAATTTTAGCAATAAAATTGTGCTGTATATTTGGTGTAAACATATTGGCTTATGAGTCTTCCCTAAGTCGAATTGTGATTTACGTTACTCCTAGGCTTAACTATATATCAGTAAACAGTAAGCCTCACAGCATTGAACACAAAGAAAAGCTTCTAGAGGCTAAAGACACATACCATCTGATATATACTAAGATCATCAATGGAATGGTAGCTGAGTCCATCATAGGTCATTCCAACAACCTTGAAGATGCAGTTGAACAACAGCCCCATCCCTTGTGCAGTCTGATACATGTACCTCCTTTCATCTAAGGTACAAGTAGTAGCGTGTCTGATGATTGCCTCTTGCATCTTGTATGAGGCATTAGAGAGTGCCTGCATATTAGAGACAACTTGTTAGGTGAAAGAAATTGATGTAAGTTTCCTTGAACATGTGTTCTGTTTCATGCAAGCAAATTATAGCTAAAAAAGAGTATCAAGAATGACGTCCTTACAGATCGTAGTAAGGCTGGGTTTATTTCGTTGCACCTCAGTAAATCTTGGACATTAGAAATACCAAACTTTGCTAGACTTTTATGGGATGTGCCATCTTTAGCGATTTTATCCAGCCTCCATACATCATCATACAAGGACGGGGGATAGTGCTTCTGATAGGCTGAAAAACAGATACTATGAGAGTCAATGGTTAAGTCAAGTAATAACCTAAAAACATTCAGCAAGAAGAAATTCTTACATTCTCCACGATGATCTTTAACTTTAAAACTGCAGCTTATGGCTTCTCTGATGTTTGTTTCATCCGCATGGGCGTACACTTTTGCCCCCAAACGAAATTTCCCACTCCTACTCCAACTTGAATTATCCGTGAAACTCAATTGGCCAATATAACCTACCCCATTCTGCAACTGAACGGTTAACTCTCCAGATACCAGCGGCCGTTTCCCTTCTCTGTTTCGTACAATCTTGCTATCGAACTCCTCCTTGGACCAGTCTTCCAGATCATCAGGACAAAAATCACCATCAAGAACAACAACAGCCACTTTGACTGAAGAATGAGGACCAGAAGTCACGATGTCTTTCGAAATAGGATCACACAAGATTATTTTAACAGGGTTCCTATCCTCAGACATGACCCTACTGCCTGTAAACAAGATGTTAGGTAAGTTACTGCAGATCTGCAGCTGCAAAGTTCTTGAGCCCAAGCACTCAACATGATTCAAGGTGGATCTGTAAGAGAATCAAAAGAAAACACTTAAAAACTACATGTAAAATTGTTTGAAGTGCTTAATCACAGCAATCATAGCCACAGTTGGAGTCCTCATAATTCAACCGAAAATAAAAACATTAAGTAACTTTTAGAAGTATTAATTTAAACAAAATGTAAGAATGGATGAGGCGAAACCAGCATATAAAAAACATCAGCAATCAGAGAACTAACCTCCGGAATTTGTTGAATTCACACTGCACTGCTTCTTGCACCTGAAGTCCATTTGGCAAAGAAATAATAAATATATGAAGTCAAAAAAAGAAGCATTCAAGCTTATATATTAATATATCTTGTTCTTTTACTAAAACAAAGGCTCTAATATAAAGGAGAATATAGCTGAAAGAAAACAGATCACTTAAAAATTAACCAACTGACTATACTACAACTACTTTTGAAAATTACGTCACATAAAGTTCGCTGAGAGATGCAGTAAATAGATACATGACAGTACACACAACTCCATCTTGTTTACTACATCAGATCCTTTGAACCATGCAGGCATGCAATCTGTCAAAATCAAAACAATCTCCAACAAGAGATTGAAACTCAATCCTATTCTACCACAGAAATAATGCAGCCTTAAATTCCTAGTTTTCATGCAACAGTAAAAATATACTAAAACAAAAGACAAACTCACAAAAGTTGGAAAACACAAACATCATAATATTAATACCACTTTTCGAATTAGGGGTTCCAAGTGAGGAATATATTCTTGTAGATCACTGACATCAGTTAGTATGCTGCATAAAAACAGAATCATGAAGGTCAGTACAGAAGGCAGATCAATAAGTTGCCTGACTGTGAATGAACAACAAATTCGAACCCACGTGGAAAATAAATGGCGGCGCTTGATAGGAAGTTCACCATCACCCTCACCCCCACCCCCACCCTCCTCCCTAAACTCCCGTTTCAGTGCCATAAAAATCCAAGATTCACAAGCTCAAAACTCTAATATAATATGAAATGGAACTGCAACAGGTGAGGGTATGTAAGGCCAAAAACTGAAACTGACACTGTTTTTATAGCCTTTTTGTTGCAGTGAAAAAAAATTAAAAAAAATGGAAGGAAGATGTCTAGGAAGTTTACTGAAAATAAAACGAACAAAATAGAACAGATGGAAAAGTTATGTAACATTGTGATTATCAGAACATAACAAAAACCTCCAAAACTCTCATTATTTTAAGCATTATTCCTCAAAGTCTTCCTAATTTTTGTTGGTAATAAAGTCTTTCTAGCATTAAAATATTCGTCCCTGTGGAACATACATCAAACAGGCCATCGTTCTTGCTAATGTAGTTGTCTGTACCTACATACAGCTAATTAGAAACCAACTGAACAGTAAACAAGCGTATGCATCATATATGTGGCAGCACTACAGCACGCACATGATTCCAATATTCTAATCAATTCCAAAGACTTGAAAATCAATTCAATTATCCGAAACCGCGTAACAGAGCAACGACTGGAGATGCGTCAATCAAAAAGGCAGAAAAATTAAAACACACCAGGAAAGGGATTAATTAATACGTTGATATTATTGAACATGAAATCGAAAGGAACGGTAGACGCTAGTCGTTCTCGCGGCGACCAAAATAAACGCGGATTTGATTATGCTGACTGGTTTGGAGAAAATACCAGGTGGAAAGAAGATGAAGGTGATGGTGCCACTGCCACTGCCACGCGGTGAAACAGTCGATTACACGTAGGAAGGAAAATGATATGTGGCGCGTTTACGTGATGCATCGACTACAGCAGCCAGCTCCAGCAAGACTTTTCGAGTCACTGATTGAGACTGAGAGTGAGAATCGAGGGTAGGGTTTTGAAGTTCCGCCATTGGCATCAATTCTCCGTTGCTTCTTACTCTCTGACTAATCTGCAACGACAGACCAACAGATGCTACTTAGAAATGACAAATGAATAAAAAAGTAAGGTTAACAATTAAAATGCACTTTCAGTCTTCAATAAACCCTAAGCCGAAAAAGCTGGGTTTGTTCTGCATTTCCATTACACTCGACTATTAAAAATTAAAATAGATTTATTGACTCTGTTACTTCGGATAAATAGTTAATATTACTACGATAATTTAGGTAAAAATGTAATTATTAATTAAATATAAAATATATTAGTTAAAAATAATTATAAATACAAATTAAAATAATTAAATAATTTAATTAACATTTTTAAAAAATTATAAAATTTCAAATACCATGAAAATATGTAATTATATATATATTTTTTAAAAAATAAATAACAAATAATAAAGGATAATAGAAAAAAAAATTAATGGAGTATTCTTTATATTTTTAAGATTTTTAATTATTTAAATTTATATTTAATTGTAGATACAGATAAAACAATGCTGGTCAAATTTATTATTATTATTTTTTCATTTGTCGAATTTATCTCATTAGTAATTTGAACAAAACGAAACAATACATTTCAATTTATGTGTTTATTAAAATAAAATGTAAATGGCTTTTTATTAGTCAATTTATTTTGTTACTAATTTTGACCCAACAAAAATAGCAATATTTACTTGTTTTTCACTCAAATTTTATTTAGGATAAATATTATTATTCTAATTGTACATATTTATATCATCTCTTTTTATTTTTCATTTTTAAATTTTATAAATATCTTTACTATTTTGTAGTTTTTTATAAAATATTCATACTCTCTCACTCCTTTTTAGAATGAGTCATTTGAGATTTTATAGTAGATTAAAATATAAATTAGTAAAAATGTATAAAAATTTTTTTTACCTTTATGTAAAATGTATAATTACTTTTACTAAAAATGAAATGAATATTTTAAAATATGAGGGATAGAATATTTTTTTAATATTTGTGCTTACTCCAAATTAGTTAAATTTACCCGATTTGATATTTTATTATAATAAATTATAAATAAGATTAAATATTTAATTTATGAATTAAATATGTATAATATATATGAAATTCAAGACAAACTTTAAGCTTTGTTTGAATCTTAAGTGAATTGAATTAAGAATGTATTTATAATAGTTCTGTATATGCAGTGTTTTTTTATGAAAAAATAAATAAATAAATAAAAAGAAATTGGTGTGTTGTACTAATAATTATGTCAATAATATATAATATACCATTTTAGGTTAAATATTGAATTTTCTTACTTTTGTAATGACTTTAGAATTATTTATATTTTCATTTTTTGATTTTATAAAATATTTTTGATTTTATATTATTATTTTTTTGGAAGCATAATTATAAAATGGGGTTGGAATGACAAATCGAATATGTTAAAAGCAAAACTCGAACAACGTATACTCGGTATAGTTTGTTTGGAAATTTGAATTTTAGTTTAAATATTGAATAATAAAAATTTTAAATTAGAATCATTGTGTTGATATAATATAAACGAGTGTTTGCTATAATATTTTTAATATAATATAAGATAAAATATAATACTTCCTCCGTCTCGTGAGATATGAGCTATTTTGTTAGGGACATCGTATTTTAGGTAATGTAGATTAGTAAATTTTTAGTAATAAGTTAAGATAATATTTTATTATTTTTATATGAATAATTTTGTTGATATTTTAAATATTTTTAGAATTGTATCTCAATAATTATATGCAATATGAATATAATTTTATAGATAATAAAATTTTATATAATACAAATGAATAAAAAAAATATATATTTATTTATTTATCATTATCATAAATCAGTTTTATAAAAAATTAAGAGTTTTAAAGATACATACAAATATTTGTTAATTGATTAGAGAAATAAAAATAAAAGGATTATGAGTATTACTGTATGTAAAATGTTAAAAAATTAATTAAATTGATTTATATTTGTTAAATATGTTTAAAATTGATAAACATAAAAAAAAAATAAGAATGAGTCATAGATGTACATAATAGGAAAATAAATAATTTGTGACGAGATGGGAGAGAGAGAGTATATGTTTTTTTTTTTTAATTTGAATTTTGAATTGAGATTTAAAGAGTAAAAATTTTGAATTTAAATAATTGTATAATGTGATATTTTGAATGTAAAATTAATTTTTATATAATATAAAATATAAAAAATAAAATTTTAATTTAATCTTTTTTTAAAGAAAATATGAAATAAATAGTGTATATTCGGTGGAGAATCCCCAAACAAACACACCATGTTTTAGGGAAAAGTTAAAGGATTAGTAAAAATCTTCGGGAATCCCCAAACGAACAAAAACTTGGAATTTTATTTTTTGTTTGCAGAAAAAAATATCAATGTACTTTATAAGTCCCTCCGTCCTATTATAATCGTTACTATTTTTATTTTTATTTGTCTCGTAAAAGTTGACACATTTCTAAAATTATTAAATGAAAATATATTTAACAAATATAAATCAACTTAATTAACTACATAACATATAACATCGTGATGAATGACGTAGTACTCATTCAAAACCCCTTTATTTTTATACTTTCTCCTTAAAAAAATATTTTTATCTATATTTAAAACTATACATATTTTATAAAATTGATTTATATTAATTATAAATAAACAAAAATATTTTATTTATTTATTTGTATTATAAAAATTTTATTTTTTACAAAATAATATTCATATTCCATATATTTTTTAATTATTATATAATTTTTAAATATTTAAATATATATTAAATTTATTTTTAAAATATAAATAATATTAATTATAAAGAAATAATATTATATATATATTTTTGTCAATCCGATAATTATTGATACCTTTATATTTAAATAAAATTTATTATATAACAATATATTTAGTAAATATAAATTATTTTAATTAGCTATATAACGCTCAAAGCTCCTTTACAAACGTTTGTTTTTTGTACTTAATCTAAACTTGAAATTCAATAAAAATGTAAAAATAAAATAAATATTTTTATTTTTCCCAACAAAATATACCATTTGATAAAAATCTCCTTTTACTTCCAACAATGTCTTCCGTCCACCCAATCTACCCGCCGGCCACCGCAATGGCCGGCGGCAACCTCTTCGCCGCTATAGATTTGGGAACAAGCTCCTTCAAACTGACTGTCGTACGCGCCGACCCTCACTCTGGCAGATTCCTCACCCTCAATCGCCTCAAAGATCCCGTCCGACTCGGCCTCGACATCACCGACGCCGCCATCTCCACCGAGTCTCTCGACCGCGCAGTTTCCGCCATCCGAAGCTTCCAGAACCACCTCCACTCTCACTCCCTTCCTCCTTCTCACCTCCGCCTCGTCGCCACTTCTGCAGTTCGCGAAGCTTCGAACAAATCCGAATTCATAACCGCTATCGACGAACATCTCGGCCTCCGCGTCGACATCCTCTCCGGCGAAGAAGAGGCGCGCCTAATTTACCTCGGGGTCCTACAATTCTTCCCGATTTCCAACTCCACCGTCCTCACCATTGATATCGGCGGCGGCTCAACCGAATTCACCGTAGGATTTCATGGTAACATTCTATTCTCTAAATCACTAAAATTAGGGCACGTAACCCTAACACAGAAATTCAGCGACGTCGCTCTGATGCGAGAGCACATCACTACTGAATTAGAAACCTCTGGTTTGATTCCGAAAATCAAGGAATTCAAACTAGATGCTGTGATAGGTTCTTCAGGCACAATCAGAGCAATTGACAAGGCTGTAAGCAAAGGCTATGCCCTAAAACCAGACGAAAATCATGTATTGTTTGATGAATTTGTTAAACCTGATTGGAGGTTTAGCAGGGATGAGCTGAGGGATTTAGTGCAGAGCTTACATGATGAAGAAGAAGACGATAATGGAATCCATGGGAAGCTTAGGAGGGAACAGTTCTTCAAAAGCCGAGCCGGATTCATTAAGGCCGGGACTGTTCTTCTAGATGTGATATTCGACAAGCTTGGCATTGAAGAGATGGAGGTCTCAGGTTATGCATTAGGTGAGGGAGTGATCACTGACATGTTAGGGCAGGTTCACGACGGTTTTGACTTGAATGCCAATGCACGATGGAGGTCAGTTGTCAGATTAGCTACGAGATTCAATAACAAGAAGAGGATGAAGGCTGCAGCCACATGCGCCGGCATAGCAAGGGTATGGCTTTCATAGATAATATATGATCGATGTTTTACATTGCGATTAAGAATTTGTACTGTGTAGGAGTTTCTTGAAGGTATGGGGAGACTGAATACGTTTCACGGTGATGGCAGCAGTGATAATTGTGAGCTCTCGGTTTTCTTGGATGATGCTGATATTGAGTACCTTGACGCTGCCTGCCTGCTTCACAATATTGGCATGTATAGTGGCAAGAAAGGTTATCACAAGCAGTCTTACCGTGCTATTATGGTAAACAAGCTTTCGCTATATAATTTTAATTACGGGACTGTTTTGAATGCCAAAGATATTATTATATTAGCCTATTAGGTTATAACAGGTTTGATAAGCAGAGGAAGCTTTAAATTAGAGTTTTTTAATAGTAAATTTTACTTGTTTTGTGAAAAATGAAAATGTTTCTGTGCCCGTTCTAGAAATTAGCTAGCTGCTGTAGCGAATCGCCTCTACGGCTACAGCTTTCAATCTCTTTCATGTATTTTCTAGGTTATTGTTAAATTTATTTTACAAATATTGCTCTTCGATTTCAGAATGGAGATAATCTCGGTGGTTATACTAGGGAAGAGACTAAGGTATGTTGTTGTCTGTGCAATTAATACTTTCAAGTGATTCCCGATTTTCTGAGAATGTCTAAAAGTGACATGGCAAAGATTTCAGCTCATAGCATTGCTTGTGAGATATCACAGAAAGAAGATTCCGAAAGATGATGTTCTTGAGGGTTCTACTAAGGTATATCCGATGTTGTGATTATTATGAATGTATTCAAAATATTTTACGGTGCTTATCTTGTTGTGATGATGCTAGGTAAAGCAGAAATTTCGAATCCTATGTGCAATCCTTCGAATATCTTGTGCCCTTCAGCAATGCTTTCCCGTGAATTCACGAGCAATAGAATTTGTTCATTCTTCAGAAGGGCTCAAATTGGTAAGATAATAGGTTTCGACTTTATTCACGGAGAAAAGCCTAATCTAGACTGTAAATGTGTGTTTTCGGATGCTGCATTCGTTGTATGTCTTTCCATTTGATGTTAAAACTGTGCATCGAATCAAATTTGACATGTCTTTTGCCGCTCAATTTAGCTAACACCGCCGGGAATGTGTTGGATTAACATAGTTAAGTTTTCAGATACTTAGAAGAACAATGGATGAGACGAGAGGTCGATCTTCCGGGGAAAGCATAGATGGGATCCTTGAGAAAGAATTGGATTTCTTCAAGACTGTAAAAGCTTCTTTCTAATGTTCAAAATCTTCTGTTATGTCTTTTTTTGGGAGCCTTTGATGCATTTGGTTTTTTTTGCAGGTTTTCAAGCAAAAATTGTCGATTCAAGTTACTTGAAGCATTTCGTTGCGGAGCCTCTAACTCACCAGAGATATGGGTATGAAGTAAAATGGCCATAAAACTAACCTACAAAAGTACATATGAGAAATTTTTAATATTGTATTAAATATTATTTTTATAATTTTATTTAAATTTTTATTATTTTCGAACTTCAATAGGATATATAAACCTTAAAGAAACACTGCCAGATTATTTGCATATGAATGTGTATACTAAGATTGATAATCTGGATTGTCAATATCCAATGAAAAAGAAAAAATCAAAAGCAAAATGAGATTTTATTCACCAATATAGTATTATTTATTAATATCGTAATATTAGAAATTTATTTCAATGCAAATACATATCTCAAACAATACGAATTATGAAACAAACAAACTATTAACTAAGCATTCTCAAAATAAATATTAATCCAATGTAATACTTGAAAAGTTAAGTTTAGTGGCTGTCCATATCCTTCTGATCACGTCTTCTTTGTGATCCCCTCAAAAAAAGAGTTTCCTCTAATTGTATTTCCAAGGATGGTCGAAATTCGTCGGCTCCACTCCCCAAAAATATTAAAACAAACAAACAAAACAAACGATTGGAAAATATTTGTTCCAGGTCGCGTATATCAAATTAAACTGCTCTATTCATTTATTTATTTAAGTAAATTACCTGAAATCCTTCCGAGTTTCATCTCTCTTCCTCGGAGGCGGGGGGAGAGCTGAGCACCATGGAAGGCGCGGCGTACAACCGGCGAGCGCGGGGGACGTCGTCGCTGCGGCCGTGGTACAGCAACGCAGAGCTGAAGCGAAGGAAGAGGATCGCCAAGTACAAATTGTACACCATGGAAGGGAAGGTGAGGGATGGCTGGAAGAAAGGCCTACGCTGGGTGAAGAAAACCTGCTCCAAATTCGTCCATGGCTTCTGACCTTTAACCCTACCGCAACCGCAACCGCAACTGCAACGGCAACCGTTTGTATAATTATATATATGTATATATAACACGCGCGCGGTTGGTTTCGGAACTGTATCCATCGGTAAATATGTCATTTCACTATCATCCCCTGCCCTTTCCTTTTCTATTATTTTCAATGGCTTGGTGGTTTGAAATTTGAATACTCTCTTTTAGCTGCCTCAACAAAAAATACATATATTTTTTAATATATATTTTAAAATATAAACTTTAATAAAAATATATTATATAAAAAATATTTACAAAAAATTTATATATAATAGTATGTATTTATAAAACAAATAAAATTTATATAAAATATGTATTAAAATTATTAAATAAACAACAATAATATAACATACTACTCCATCTGTCTCAAATACTATGTAATATTTTTTTTTCTCTAATTCACTGTAATATTTTTAAATTTAAAAATAATTAATAATATTTTTATACATATATTAATATATATTTTACTTTATCTCATCACATCACTCAAATAAAAAAATATAAATAATTATTTCTCTCTTCAATAACATAACTTAATATCCAAATTATCTTAAATTACCATATTTAATATTATTTGCTTAAATTTTCGTGCCAAACATAAATGTTACGCGGTGTTTGGGACGGGGAGGGAGTACTATTTTATTTACTTGATAATGAACGACGTCGTCTGAAGAAAAAGAACCAAAAGCATTATATATTGACCCATCACCCGCCCACTCCGCTGCTTCCGCGCACTCAATTGCAACGACGCCCAGCCTCCTCTTTGAAAAGCGCGGGAAAACGCATCAACAGCGTCGCCGGCGGAACGGAAGGAGGAGCGATCCCGGAAAAGTGAATGGACCGTCACGATTTAGATTTGGAGAAGGCGAGATTGATTAGTTTAGCTCTAGAATTCGGATTCGACGAGGACTCCGCAACCAACTGCTTAGACCGCCTTGTTAACCTATATGGTGAGCAATTTCTTTCTCAGGACCTCAAGCCGTTGTTTCTATTTCCGTAGGATTAGTTATCCTATCGACCATTGAATTCTAGTAACAAAACTGTGCGCCTGTTTGAAATATTCAGATATTGAGAAATGAATAATAGTTCCCAAAACCAGGCGAGATTATGAATTATTTAGTGATTTTTAAGACTTGCTTAAAGGATTATTATTGAGATTTTTCGTAACTTAATGTCTGACATAAACATTTTATTGAAGGACAATAAGAAGTGGGAACAATCTCTCAATTCAAAATAGCAAGTTGAATGTGGTATAATTCTTGGTTTCCTGAATTCATTAACAACTGTGAATTTCTTCTGGTCAAGGTGATGATGGACGAGATTTCATTACTGTGGAGCACTGTGGTGATGACTTTTTGGCTTCACTTGCTGAATCAATGCACGACACTGAGGATTGGGATGATGTGCAAGCATTGGAGTCTGAAGCTTGTGGTGCTTTGAGTGAGATTTTGGACAAAGATGTTCTTCAGCATTATGATTCAAATCTTACTGGGAAAAACCAGATTCATGTCATTGAAGATTCTCCCGAATCCCAAAAGCAGAAAAATGTTATGCAGCTGGATTCATCAACTGATGAAGAAAAGAAACACCAGACTATTCCTAGAAAAAAACGTTTGAAAACTTCCTCTAACAGTGTTGTAGGTGGAAACAGCAACCACCCTTCTCCAAGTTCGATTAAACACACGTCATTTTCTGTAAGAAGTTCTTGTCTATAAACACCAATTTATATCTTGGCTGTCTAATCATGTGCTACAAACAGCTTCATGCTCAAGTTATCTTGACACGTGTTTTTAGGTGGGTAGTATTAAGTAGGATAATTTAGAAATTAGGTGATATGATGGAGAGAGAAATATATATTTTATTTTTGTATTTGGATGATGTGAGGGGATAAAGTGTGGGGTAGAGATTAAGTATGATTAATTATTTCCTATTTTGTAAATGTTGCAGAGTATTTGGGACACATAAAAAATGAAATGTTGTAGGGTGTTTGGGACGGAGGGAATATTATATCATATGAATGCCACAGCTTGAAATATTTTTTAAGGTTGTCTTTTGCTAGGCCAATATGGTCAAATGCATCATGGAAACCCCATGAACAGAATTAAAATGCCTTGTACTTTTTGCAAACTCAACTATTTTCCAATAGTTAACCATATTATCCTTACTGACAGTTGATATGAAATTCTTTTGAAGGACCACAGGAGTGATCTAACACAAAGTTCAGGTTCAACATTTTCCCATGAAATACATCATGGAAGGTTGCATGATCGTGCAGATGGAACTTTGACATATGAAGAGCTACAGAAATTGGATGATCTTGAATTGGCCAATGTTGTTGTATTTGGTAATAGAACCTTTCGACCACTCCAGCATCGAGCTTGTAAAATGTTTCTTGATCAGCATGATAGTTTTGTTCTTATGCCTACTGGAGGTGGGAAAAGCCTTTGTTACCAGGTCAGTTCATACTGTCATAGGTCTTGCTGCTTATTTATTGTAAACTTCTCGTCTATACATTTCACAGATGGCAAATGAATCCAATTAGCTTCTCTCATGCTGTCATCTATCTGCAAGTTTTACCAATTTATGGTATTGTGAGCATGTGGTGTGAGTTTATTCTTGCGCATATATTGCATTCTCCGCCTTATCTTTAACGTGTTCACATTCGAGAAAAATGCTTCCCGATCTGATATAAGAGATAAGAAACCTCCGCACTTCACTTTGTTGCTTTCTATGAAAATAAATTGACAAAAAGCTCTGAACATTCTTTAAACAAGACACTAATTCATATTACTTTGCTCTTCTCTAGATTTGCATTTTTTTCACCGCAAACAAAATTCTTACTGTTAACATTTTTTAGCACCATTGTTCTTGTAAGTTGTAATATATGTTTTATCTCATTATCCAAACTAATAACTTGGGCTTTTTGCACTGAAGATTTTCATTCTTTTCTTGATGCTCTTCCTCTTGTATGCCATACTATTCAGCTTCCAGCCATTCTCCGGCCAGGTGTTACAATTGTTATATCCCCACTTCTATCCCTCATTCAAGATCAGATTGTTACCCTGAATATCAAGTTTGGGATACCTGCAACATTTTTAAATTCTCAACAGAAGCCTGCACAGACTGCAGCCATACTTCAAGAGCTGAGGTAAGCTTCATCTATTCTCCATATAGCACACAGAACATTTCATATTTAATCTAATTCCTTCTTTATTGATATTTTTGGAGCCAAATGATTTTAAATACTTGAACTCCTTTCCAAGATATATATATATATTTTTCTGTAAAGTTTGTTTTCTAAATTCAGATTATTATAGGAGCGTAGAAATTTGTGAGAGTTTTCAGTGCTAAAATAAAATTTGGTAGAATCTTGCATTTGTCATAAACTCTCTTCCAACTTAGCCGGTGTAACAGCATGCCATAGTGGCTAGTTTGCATTGTGTCTACATGTGGGAAGAATGCAAAAGGTAGTCTTCAGGTGGTATATTTATTGATTGCTTAATAAAAGTTTATCCAACATTTTCTACCTATTTGAATGCTGGCAGGAAGGATAAACCATCATGTAAACTTCTGTATGTAACTCCTGAAAGGGTTGCTGGGAATTTACCATTTCAACATATCCTAAATTGTCTGCACGGGAAGGTAGTTGTTTAGTTACTTCCTTGTGAACAATAACTTAAACTGAGGCACTCTGAATCGACAACATTTCATTAATGATTCTAAATCTAACAAGGTTAACATTTACTAATCTCAGGGACAATTAGCAGGTTTTGTGGTAGATGAAGCTCACTGTCTTAGGTATGCATTTGCATTTGCTGAAATTTTCTTGATATAAATATTCAAGTGCTTAATGAAATGAAGATAGATATTTTTTGGAAGTAGCAATAGAGAAGGTGACGAAGCTAGAAATATTATGTGGTTGTCTACAATAATATGAAAGTACAAAAATTTGAATAGTATGTTGTGGCAGTTTCTCTGTTCAGAATAGATAGTTGTGTTGGGAATAAAAATTGAATACATACAACGGGTGAAGTCCTTTTCTCACCTTTAATTCATATAATACATGTGTATAACCACATACTATAACCTAAACAATAAAGACGGGAGACAAAGATGTTATTTACTACTGTTGATATGTGCATTGCATGTTGTTTACCTTGAAGAGAATATTTCAGTTTTTTGAATCAGATGTACGATTCTTGTCCAACTTATCACCTTTCTCTGATTTTTAGCCAGTGGGGGCATGATTTTCGTCCAGATTATAGAGCATTAGGATGTCTTAAGATGAATTTTCCTCATGTTCCTCTGATGGCGTTAACTGCCACTGCAACGCCAATAGTTCGTCAGGTTAGAGATTGCTAGTATTTAGATTTTCATGTGTGTATAAGTAGTTTCTTCTTAAGAACTAAAGTTACAAATTAATCTGCAGGATATCTTAAACTCATTAAAAATTCCTGGTGCTACTGTGCTTGAGAGAAGTTTTGATAGGCCCAATTTGAAGTATGAGGTGATTGGCAAATCTAAAGAGCCACTCAAACAACTTGGAAAACTACTTGTGGATCGATTCAAAAATATATGTGGAATTATATACTGTCTCTCCAAAAATGAATGTGTGGAGGTTTCAAAATTCATGAATGAGACATTCAAGATCAAAACTGCATATTATCATGCCGGTTTGGCTGCTCGCCAGAGAGTTGCAGTTCAGAAGAAATGGCACAGTGGAGAAGCACATGTTGTTTGTGCTACCATAGCTTTTGGAATGGGGATCGACAAACCTGATGTTGTGAGTCTTCTTCTGCCTCCATACCATAGCACGCGAAGTTTTACAGATCTTTTCTATAGTTAGAATTTAGAACAATCATTTAAAACTACATGCAAGCCAATTAAAAAATTATCTTGCATGCAATTTTACCGGCTGAGAAGTCTACATGAACTGCTTTTACTACTTTGCATCATTCTGAGATAAAAAATGCTTTGCAGTGCCGTGTTAGACTTATAGTGGTTTCCAAAAGAAAGAAGAAAACTAACTTGCTTTTTCCTTTTTCAGCGTTTTGTTGTCCACAACACAATGTCCAAATCAATCGAGAGTTACTATCAGGAATCTGGAAGGGCAGGGCGAGATAATCTCCCAGCCACATGCATTGTTCTGTACCAGCGGAAGGATTTCAGTCGGGTCGTATGCATGCTTAGAAATGGACACGGAGCTAAACGTGAAAGCTTCAAGATGACCATGGATCAAGCCCGAAAAATGCAAAAGTACTGTGAACTTAAGGTACATGTTACAATCTACAGATGTAGTAATCGTAAGGGTAATCACATAAAAAAAAATTACTAGACCATCTGTATCATAATTTCCTCTGCTGCAGGATGAATGCCGAAGGCAAGCTTTACTCGAACACTTCGGAGAATCCCATGATCGGAGCACATGCAAAAACGGTTCAAATCCTTGCGACAACTGCCTCAAGCTGTCGACATGATCAAGAATATCACAAAGCACATCATTTAAACAGGTATTGATTAACAAAATCATTCTTTCACTGAATTAACCAGCCCAGCTCCAAAACATGCACTCCAAGTTGTATGCTTTCTCATAGTAGAAGAAACGCTATTCAGCCAAATGCAGCTCTAGCATAACACGCTTTTTCTACCTAATATACTTCACATTTATGTTTTAGACTTTAGTCCAATTAATTTCATTTCTAAAGCCTCTTGGTGTTACTGGCATGTGCAGTTGCATTTGGTGTCATATGATATCAGAATCTTAAAGGGGGCCCTTGTGATAGATCTATCAACAGGGATTTCAAGAATTATGTTGACCAAAAAGCACATGGGAACAGCCTGCCATTTGGTATGATCACATTCACATACATAACTACTCTTTCATTTCATTATTTAATTCTTTTCCATTATCCCCAAATTGCTTGATTAGAGTAGAAAACCATCCCCATCATATGCTCCCACCTTTTTCTACCTCCTAAATTGTAGGACTTAAATTGCACTACCTAGGAATTAATTTATTCACTTAATCATGCAATCAGATACTGTGCTTTTCTTTAGTGGAAAAAACAATACAATGAACAATAACCTCCCCTCATTGACATTTTCCCTTGTGCAACTTTAGAGAATTCAATCTTACTCAACTGATAATTTTACCTAAAAAGGGAAATCACATGGAGCAGTTTATATATGTAAGTATGTAATATGGTAGTGGGCAAAAAATGACTTGGTTGATTCTGCAAGCCTTCAAAAGTGGTTGCCCCCACAACCAAAAATTGTTGGTGTTTTGTAGTTTAAATTGTTGCTATAATGTTGCTTCAAAAAGGGGCCAAGTCCCCACATTTGATGCCAACAGGGAACCACAGTTAAAGTTAGGGCTTTGCACACACCATGTCTGCCCACATTGCCATTTCTTTTCCCCCTAACATGTATGGATAAATCCTAATAATTCAAGAACTGTATGGGAGGCTATAATGTGGAAGGAAATACATGATATATGATTATATTATTAGGAGCTTCAAGAACTCCTTTTTCTTTTTTATTGGTAGAACTGTATGGGAGGCTAATGTGGAAGAAAATACATGATATATGATTATATTAGTAGGAGCTTCAAGAACTCCTTTTTCTTTTTTATTGGTAGAACTGAAAATTGGGGAATAGGAAGGAAGAGGAAGAGGAAGAGGAGAGGGTTCAAAGAAAAAAAAGAAAAAAAAGTGTATTATTAGAACAATAAGGGTTCCCTGTGTGTCACTTTCTCTGGTGTGGTGTGTCATGTGTTGCTGTCTGTATTTATTATTTAAAAACCTACCCACCCTCTTCTCTACTAATGCTTTATAAATTTGTATATGATACATGCATTGATTTGCATCCTTTTACTTTGAGTTTTGCTAAACTATACATCATTGCTGCTAAATCTCCTCTTTCCCAAACATAAATGTTGCAAATTTTGTATCATTTTCTTGTTTTTTTGAATTGTTTTGACAATTGTGAGGTTTTGAATCTAAATTGATTTTAATCTTATATTTTAAATAAGTGTTTAATGTGATTGTTTTATTATATTTTATAAAGATTTTTATTTTTTTATTGTTTATATATATATATATATTTGTGTGTGTTACTGCAGAGTTTCTCCAATGTTGCACTAAATTTTTTGATACGCACAATAATAGAACAACATTTATAGTTATTTTTCTTAGATATATATATTCGATAATATTATATGGACAATGAACTAATTTTTTACACAGGCGTTGTAATAAATTCGGTTCTGACATCGTCTTTCAATATGACCCTCCCATTTATATGGGTTGGCAGAAACTCCAAACTGTCGAATTGAATCAAAGAGAAATGAATTTTCGGTTACTGGAGGAAATTCGAAGTATAAATACTATTAAATTTATTTTTTATTATATATATATATATTTGGTTCATTGAATTGAACATTATTTATATTATATATTTTAGATTTTATGTTAATAGTGATATTATCTAAATTCAATATTACTAATATTTGTATCAATATATTTGACAATCAAATACTATAGTTGTATTTATAGATCCATCCGATTTCAAATATTTGTAAATATTTTTAGAATTTTTGTTGAATATATTTTTGGAGATGGTTCTTAATATTTGTAAATATTACAAATATTTTCAATTGATTGGAGTAATTTGTTTGAATGCAACTTACTATTCCAAATATTTATTTGATTTAATTCGTAAAACAAATATTTGTATATTTGCAAGTAAAGAATCATATATTCAATAGAAGTATATTTTTTACAGTGGACAAATAATAGATGATATAAGGCAACAATATATGAATTTATTAACAAAATATAAATATAAACACTTTTTTACAGTGGATAAATAATAGATTATATAAAACAATAATATATGAATTTATTAACAAAATATAAATATAAATATAGTCTCATAAAAGATGGTACGATGGACTCGTGTTCTAGGTAAACTTTGGCCGAACATAAGTAAAAGTATATTATTAATTTATTTATTCATTTTAAAATTTATTTATATGTCCTAGATGCACAAACCACACCACATTCATATCCATTCTTGGCAATTTAATAGGTAATTTTGACCAAGTCAACGTTTTCATTTATTGGAGTCTGGGTTCTCTCTCATTCAGAACATCCCAAAATTCTTTACTTACTACAACTACAAAATTGATTGGCACAGAACAACCTCCATATTTGACTTCCCTTTGTACTATTATTATATAAACTATTTAAATAAATAAAAACATTAAATATACAAAGTATATAATGCATAAACGTATCATAACTAATTAATAAAAGTATTTTTCCTTTTATATAATCCATTAACCAAATCAGCACATACATATATATATATATTTAACGTTAAAGTATACTTAATATTGAATCTAATGATTTTTAATTGTTTAATCGAAATATTTAAGTTCTGTTTTCTTAGTATTTTTAAAATTCTTTTATTATTATATAATATTTTAAAAATATATATACAAATATTACCACAAGCACGAGATGAATTGTTTACAAAAAAAAATGTACACAAAATGTGTCCATTCCCCAATACTTTTTATTGGCCTATGTGTTTGAGAGAAGAGGGAGACAGGGCGACAAACACCAAACATAAATATGACTTTTATTTTGTTTTATTGATTAATGATAGTTTTAATATTATTTTTTTGAAATAATTAAATATGCGTGTTTGTTTTGAAGAATTTTTTTTTTTTTTTTTATGTGTAATATAGATAATTGTGTAGATAATATAAAAATAATAAATTTATATAATATATTAATTTTTTTACAAAAATATTTTGATTTATTTTGAGTAAAAGAACACACAATTGGAGAAATATGTGTTACTTATGGAAAAGCAAAAAAAAAAAAAAAAAACACACCCACACTCAAAACAAACAAGCACTTGAATGTGTTTGTGTGTTTACAATATATTTTAGTTGACACTAATATTATAAAAAATATAATATATACTCAAAATCATATAATATACTAATATATATTTTATCAACTCAAAAATATAAACAATTTAATATAATATATTATTTTTATATTATTAAAATAATTTTTTTAGATTTAATATAAAAATATATCTACTAAAGAAAGTTGTTTTAGAGTAACATTATTGATTATTACTTAAAAAACTACAATATATATAATAAAAATCAATAAAAATAATTATTTCAATCATTATTTTAATAAAAATTAATACTGCTAAATATAATGTATACATTTAAAAATAATATAGTAAAAGATGAAATAAAAACAAATAATGTGTTTTTTTTTTTCACTTTTCAGAAAGTTGAATTTAAAGGTTTCTATTTTTGTATTTAAATAATATTTAATATAATATTTTATAAAAATTATATTTATTTATTTTTAAATAGTCCGAAATATTGTATAAAAGCGTAGAAAAGAGAGACCCCCAAAATATATACACACTCAATACTTTTACAGAATATAAAATAAATATAGAATATGCTATGCTGATTTTATTACTAACTCATATTCCACAGGATTACTATAAAATATACTGTACGAAATACCATTTTTCACATAAAATATTTTATGCATAATGCAACATATTTATGGTACAAAACAAATAAAAACTGCTCCACTTTATGTATTATTTCGTACAAAGAATTATGGCTCATCAGATTTCCATTACAATTATTAAAAATAAAAACAATTATTATCTTATCAAGCATTAAATAATATACTATAAAAAAAATAAATTAAAATAGTATAATAACAAATTAAACTGATTGTACCGTATACGTATAACACGAATAAATACCATTCAATGGCTCATACATTATACGGAGCGTGAGCCCACGCTCTCTCTGTTTCTCACTCTACACTCTTTCTCTCTCTACTCTGCTCTCAAATCCAAATCTTTTCTCTCTTTCTTTTTTCAAATCACTCGCCCCCTTTTTTTTTTTTTTTTCCTCCTTTTTGTCTTCACTCCACAACTGGACTGCCGATCGGAATTCAAAATCGCATCAGGGTTCTTGACGTACGTTGTAGATCTTATCCTCGCCGGCGTTTCTGACGGATTTGATTCTGCTGTTAGGTCAGAGGAGATTTGGTGGAGGAGAGATGAGGACTCTGCTGGTGCTGGTGCTGCCTTGATATGTGCGGCCTTTGACTGAGCTTTTCCATTTTGTTCGCCTTTAATTTTTTTTGTTCTTCCGCTTGCCCCTTCGAATGTTTTTGTTGGAGCAGAAACCCTAGGAATGCGGCTGTGATAATCTATACATGTAGTTGATTGAATGTGTGTAGGTGTGCTATGAAAATTAGATGATTTCTACAGGAGGTTTGTGCGTTTTGGTTTAGTTAATCTGGTTTTTGGGTGTTCGATGTGTTTCCGTAGGGAGTAGATTTGTGGTTTCTCTGCGTTTTCTGTGGAATGTGATTGTGAAGTTTTGCCCTATTTGTGGTGAAGGTTTTTGGTTTAATTGCAGAAATAGAGTGTAGATTTCTGAAGATTTCATAGGTTAATCGTGTTGAAAAATTAGGGTTTCGTTTCTCGATATTATGGTGTTTATTTTTGAACAGTGTATGGAACTTCGTTTACCGACATTGACTTTTATCATCGATTCCATTTCAGCACTGTAAGGAGCTTTAATGGAGGTTGAGAAGCGTGGAGGAGCGAAGGGAGGCTTCTTCCAGTTATTCGATTGGAATGGTAAATCTAGGAAGAAGCTTTTCTCAGCCAAATCCGATTTACCAGGTAGATCTTCATCTCCATTTTCTTCTACTGATTGTTTGTTGTTCTTGCTATGATCTTGTATTTAAGAATATTATTCTCATCTTCTGCTGCAGAGAATTCGAATCACGGCAGAGAAGCTTATCACAGCTCTGTTCTTGCGAGGCAGCTGGTAATTTCTTCAGATTTCTTTGTTTTCAACTCGATTTTTTCGAAGCTTGTGATACCAACTGCTGTGCATTTTTCTGTAGGATCTTGAGAATGGGTTTCCACCAAATGTCCGAGGCCACAACGATTATTATTACGCCTCATCGACAAGTGGCGATTCGGAGTACGGCACAAAGGCCCCCGGGGTTGTGGCCCGCCTTATGGGATTGGACTCGTTGCCTACACAGAACGCCACCGAGACATGTTTTACAGCTCCATTTGCCGACCCTCAGCCGTATAATGATTCTGGTTATGTAATGGCTGCTCCTGCATTTCAACGGGAACACGACATTGTGATCTTTGAGAGTGTCCGGAATAAATTGGATGGATCGAGTAGGAATCCATTGGACCTTAAGTTGCAGAGGGCGCAGAACCGATCAATCGAGAGGTTTCAGAAAGAGGTGTTGCCACCGAAATCAGCAAAGCCGATTTCTGTCACTCAGCACCGTCTTTTATCTCCGATCAAGAGTCCGGGATTCGTCCCACCTAAAAATGCAGCTTATATTATCGAAGCAGCGTCGAAAATGATCGAGCAGAGTCCGAGGTCAAACGCAAAGGCAAACTATTCGCCACTCGGGTCCTCGTCTTCGGTTCCGATCAGAATTCGGGATTTGAAGGAGAAAATGGAGGCTGCTCAGAGATCTTCTCAGTTAGCCGATTTGTCCCAACGGGGTAAAGAGCAAAGTTCTGTTAGAAATGTGAAGAAACAGGTCAATGCTCGGGGGCAGGTTCAGTTGGAAAATGGCTATTCGTCTAAGGGTTCCGAAGAATCGAAAAGAGTCGGTTCTCAAAGATTAAAGAGCAAGGAAAAGTCGGGCCCTCTTGCTTCTCAGGGAAAGGTTAACATTCAGAAAAGGGATCGTTTGAATTCGGTCGGGAATCGAAGTTCGGAGAAACACAAGGAACACAATGACGCCCGGCCCGGTTCCGTAGCAAGAAATTTAACGAATACACAAAAGAGATCGGAAAGGCAAACTCCGGCTAGGAAGCCTTCGGAGGTTCTCAGGACAAATAATCAGAAACAAAATTGTGTATTTACTGAAGATGGAGACCGAAAGGAGAGGAAAGAGGCACATATATCGTCGACCAATGATTTACCGGCGCAGACGCATAGGACTGTAGATAAAATCGTTGTGAATAATGTGATTACATCGAGGAAGACAAATTTCGTGGCTGCTGATCAAGGGAAAGAGCTTTCGTCGTCTAAATCGAGGATGGCTTCGAAGAAGAAGGTGCTGATCAATGGGAATATTCAGACCAGCGGAAGCACTACCCAGAAAGCGGGGTCGGTAAAAGATGAGCGATCTGTAAAACATAATGTTGCGTTCGCGGATGACTCTAAGTGGGACATGATCGACAAGAAAAGTAGCTTGGATGTAGTGTCGTTTACGTTTTCATCTCCGATCAAAAAGTCTGTGGCCGGATCCAACTCTTGCGGTAATATCTGGAAGCGACTCGTTTATGTTTCTTTTATGATTTTGTTCTTCGACTATCCGAATCTAATGTGATGAATGCTGCTTTGTGCTGTTCAGGCTTTAACGTCGCTGGCGGGGATGCCTTAAGTGCGCTGTTGGAACAAAAGCTCAAAGAGCTGACTTCGAGGGTCGAGCTATCCCAGAAAGAAATGTCGGAGGTCGGTTCTTCTGGTTCTACCAACAACTATGGCAACCTCAGCTCCACCGTTGATTTTCTGAAGGGCCTCCCCATGGACGGCGACGTATGTAAAAGTAAACGGGAAACTGGGAACGCAGCTGATTTCTCTCCCGACAAAAGAATCACGGTACAATTTCTTATATAAATTATTACTACATCGAATAAAATTAAAATTACTTCATTGCTTGAAATATGTTGATTGTTCGACGAATTGAGACTCTTGGTAAATGTTTTGTCAATCGAATCTTGTTTACGTGTTGAATTTTGAGCTGATTCGTGTGATAATGTCATGGTTTGAAACTCGAGCAAGTTTATTTTAGAAGTTGAATATATGTAACTATGCTAACGGGATCTGAAAATGTGTACACCTTGTTATACTTCCCGGAAGTTTTCCTGCCGTAATATTAATACTTCCTTCGATATGAATGTAGTTGCTGTGTTCTTATTCAATATCAGGGACTCGATTACGTAAACGTTGACAACGATAACCGCATCGACTATCAAAGGCTTCATTTGCAAGGGTCTCTTTCAGTATCATGTCGACCGTCATCGTCAGGCGCAAGTTTCGACTCATACAACCCTGCCGACGGTAAAAAGTTGCATCCCTCAGTTAATTATTCATGTTTCGAGAATTACTCACCTTTTTTTACTGGTCTCGTCGACAGGTCGGTTGCCGTGTTTGTCGCTAGACTCCTACGAAGGAACAAACTGGAGCTCGACTCAGAAATCTCACTCCGCCGAAGGCGACACCGAGATCTCGGACACGGCATCGTCGTCTCAGTCGATAACGGCGAAATCGAGCTCGTGCATCGCGGATCCGAAGGACCCGTCCCCCTGGGAGCTCGACTACATCAAAGACATCGTGACGAATGCGGATCTGTTATGGGAAGAGTTCGCACTGGGGCAGGCGTACAGGATCATACCGCCGGATCTGTTCGAGCAGTTGGAGAATCATCACAAAGAGGAGCCCCCGGTCCTGGAGCGGAGGGCGCTGTTCGACTGCATTTGCGAGTGCCTGGAAGATCGGTGCGGGCGGGTGCTTGCGGGGAGCTGGAAGTTGTGGGCGAAGGGGACGGCGGCGGTGCGGCGGCGAGAGTGGCTGGCGGAGGAGGTGTGCGGGGAGGTGGCGGGGTGGATGAAGGGCGGGGATGAGATGATGGTGGACGAGGTGGTGGAGAGGGACATGAGCTGGAAGGGCGGGAAATGGATCGAGTTCGAAACGGAGTGGATGGAAGAAGGGGTAGCTGTAGAGGATGGGATACTTACTAACTTGATAGATGAATTGATCGATGATTTCTTGCTTTGATTTGATTTGATGAATTTGATCTTGTTGTTCTTGATCTTGATCTTGTTCTTCTGGGTTTTGATTTCGGTTTTGGTGTTTATTTGGTAACTTATTAAGTTTGATGGATGGGTGGATGGGATTTTTGTATCCATGTTTGGTTTGTGGGAAGTTTGTTTATTGCAGAATTGTAACTTAAATGGGTCTTTGAGTTTTGGTTTTATTGTGATTTTAGGCTATATATGTTTAGATGAGTATTTTGAAAGCAATATTTAATTTACAGTAAAAAAGGGAAGGTATTTAGCGCCGATTTTAATTTGAAATAGTAAAAGAAGAAATGCTAAGAAGGTATTTAGGTGTGTTCGGTTGTAAAATTTTTAAGAAATTTTACTATTCATCTATTTTTTTCTTTCCAAAAACATCAAATCAAACCCCTATTTTTATTTTTTATATTATACTAAAAATAAATTTTATATTCAAAACATCACATCAACACCTGTTTATATCACGTTGTACAACTATTTAAATTCAAAATTTTTATTATTCAAATCCCAACTCAAAATCCAAACCCCAAACAAACACACCCTAAGCTAATTTTGGTTTAGTAAGTACTCTAAAAAATAATTTTATTTTAATATTAAAATAAAATAAAAAGTTTATAAAATAATTGATAAAAAAAAATTGTTGAGTAAATAAAAAATACTAGCAAATTAGTTGTTATTTGTTAAATAAAAAACAATAAATTAGTTGTTTTTATTACGCATCTTATAGAGTATTAATTGAACAAAAAATAAATTAGATAGTAAACGATGTCGTGGAAAATAGATGTTTATTAATAGAATATTTTAAATAAAAAGTAAATCTTGAATATAATATTTTTAAATGAAAAAATTTAAAATAAATAATTGAAAAAGTAATATTTTTAGAAAATAAATATTCTTATGTCTTTTTAATTATTTATTCATTTTTCTATTTTGGTATGTCTCAAAACAAAATATCAATTTCTTTAGTAACTTTAATACCTATTATTAAAATTACTCTTAAATTCAAGCTATATTACAATAAATTTTTACTTTAAGGATATTTTAGTTTTTTTACATTTATTCTTACTATATTCTAATACAATACTAAAATTTCTAAAATTTTGTGAAAAAAATAGATAGATAGATAGATATGAAACGAAAAGAGTATTGCAAAAGTAAAATTGAAAAATATGAGTAAAGAGGGCAGGGGTTTTTCTATTTGGAATTGACGTTAACTTGTATACATAATTTATGGTGACGGTTATTGTTAAGTCAATACCGTTCTAATTTGATCAAGTTAATATATTAATTTGAACCAATTAATATTTCATCACGAGATATATAACATATGTTGTGTTATATAGAATTTATATACTGCGTGGATTATGTATTATGTTATGTTGTCTAATTTGTTTATTGTGTTGAAATTTTAATTTATTGTGCTATATGAAATTATATAATGGACTGTCAAAAAATATGTTATATATTGTATTAATATTTGTTATGTATTATATATTTTGTTTTGTATGATCCGCTTATTGTACTACATAAATTTATATAATGTGCTATCAAAATATATGTTATACATAGAATTAATATATGTTGTAGGATATATGCTATATTCTTTATAATACTCCCTCCGTCTCATATCTATATATCCATTTGATTTTTTCGCGAAATTTAAAAATATTAGTATTATATTGAGATAAAGTAGAAATAAATGTAACAAGACTAAATTATCTCTATTAGTAATGTATGATATACATGTAATGACATTTGTATAATATATTGTAAATTAGAAGAATATTTGTAATGTTAGGTAGATAGTACAAATACTAAAAAAAAGAAATTGATACTTTATTATGAGACAAGACCAAAATGAAAAACGGATAAATTGTTAAGGTACGGACGAAATATATGCTAATTGATCCAATCACTGAAAAAACCAAAACAATAATTTATATTTCTGATTTTAATTTTTTAAAACAAAAATAAGTATCAAATGTAATGTTTGGTATAAGCAACAAAATAGATAAATAAAAACATAAGTGAGCAAACCACACTTTCATGAAAAGTTTGTTTACTAAATGAGATTATTTGAACCAAGTAGTGAACCTAATTTATGCACATGAAATGTTTAGTTGTAATATATATCCAATCTTCTATTTTTAATTTTGTTTTAAAAAAATATATATATCTATTGTCTATTTTTTACTGTCTGAGTTCCTCCTATTCCAAAATATTATTATTTTAAATAAATAGAAATACGATAAAATATTAATAGTATTATTATTTTTTTTAATTTTATGTATAAATTAATTATATATAATAATATATTTGTAATTTTACTAAAAATTTAAAATATTTTAATATCCCACGAAAAGATAGTACATTGTAAATCAAAATTCAAATCATGACAGAAAACTAAACAAACTCTACTAATGTTGTAGATTTGTTTCACATCTATTCAACAAATACAATACTACTTCCCTCCGTCTCAATGCAATAATCTTGTTTATTATTTGTCCGTCCCAAAATAATAGTCTCATTTCCATAAATACTCATATCATCAAAAAATTATCTTCACTTTTTCATTATTATTACATAAATGCCACTACTTTTTATACTAATACACTCACAAGTCTTTTATTCATATTATTTTACCAACTATCAATATAATATCAATATTTCTTAAATTTTGTGTCAAACTCAAATAAGACCATAGTTTTGGGAGGGAGAAAGTATTATTTAATTTGGCTTGATTATTTTAGTTAGTTTGATAGATTGAATTATTATTATAAAAGTTAGGCTTCTTATAATTGTTTGAAGTATTATAATACAAGGTAATACTATCATAACTTTATATATATATTATTTCAAAAAAACTAATCATACCCTCGATTTATAACCAATTGATGAGTGTACTTCCATCATGCTCAATATATAGCACAAATTGAAAATTGATTTTTTTTTTTTAAATAATATTAGAATCAAAGTTATCATAATTAAAAATAATAATAATAAAATTCAGATCGAATTTATTGCTTATACTTTTATGAAACTTAAAAGTAGAAATATTTTTAACATAAATTTAAAAAGCATATAAACATTAATGTTGATCCATGATATGTTTGTATTTTTACTCCGATTTTCATATAAACATATACTATCTTCGTGCCTTAATAAGGTATTTATTTATTATATATATATATTTATATATTTATCTATTTCAAATCAAAGTATTTTTTTAAATAACTATAGCACATATCCAATATTAAAAATATTCTTAAATTTTTTTTGAAAAACCTAATACATATTACTAATAAGAATATAAATATCATTTTATCTCTATTTTTACTAAATACATGTATAATACCAATATTCAAAAAACTAAATAAATATCTTAGGAGTATTTGGTTTTAATTAATTATTTTTACTGTGTAAAAAATAAAACTCCAAAAGTATACATAAAATGTATTCATTTTGTGTTTTCTTTAATTTGATTTTTTGTCTCGATAAAATAATATTTTGATTCGATATTTTGTCTCGTAATAACTATATTCTACATAGTTAAAAATAATAATAATAATAATAATAATAATAAAATTAAAAAGAATAGAGCCAAAATTAGTGGAAAATGCCATTAAAAGACACATGTGGAACAAACCCTAGCCTTACTTTTTAGGACCTTTTTTAAATCCAAACTACAAATAACTTATCTCCAAAAACAACTCATCCCACTTTCCTTTTCCCCTAACAACCTTAATTAATCAACAAACATTTTATTTTGTTTTTATTTTTATTGCAACAAAACTACTTTATTGGACTTCATTACTTTTGCAAGTACTCCAACTTTCAAATGAATTTCAAACATTATAAAATCTATTTATAACAATATATTTAGTATTATCATTACACACTATTAACAACACCTAAAAATTAAGCACATTTATTTTGAGCAAATTTTAGAATAAATCACTTCTCAAATAAAATTTTGTACAAATGTCTTATCCATCCTATCTTCAATATATATTTAAAAAAATAAATTTATTCCGACGACTTTTCAGTGCACTTACTTGACTAGTATTGTTTGCAAATTATTTTGCTCGATTTATAAGTTATCTAATATGTATTTGAAAAATAACGACCGTAAATTCTAATATTGAAAAAAAAAAAAAAAAAAAAACCCTTAAGGGGCCCTAGCCCACAATTCAATTGAATTTTAAAGAATAAAAAGTTGTATTAATTGAGAAAGAAAGGGGCCTTTGCCTTATAAAGAAAAACATCCCCATTTGAGGACACCTCTTTTTAGTTATCTATGTATATTATTTTGAAATATATATATATATATATATTTATTTATTTAGATTCATTGTATCAAATGGATCATTTCAAACATAATAATTTGATATTGTGTGTTTGGATGTGATTTGTATTGAGTTGAATTTTTATTTGAATAGCACTAGTAATATTTTGGACCTCATTATAAATTTGTTTTTAGTACAAAAATGCTATTATTATCTCAATTTTTTTAAAACTATTATTTCTAATTTATAAATATGCCTCAATTTTATTTTTGTAATTTTCTTAATGTACACACAAATTTTCATCTTTTACTAATTTAATAGTATAATTTATAATAAAATTGTGCTGAAAAAAAACATGCAAACTGAATGTCACACAACATGTTCCTATTGTCTTCTTCATGTTCATAATTCTTTTTATTTTTTATTTTAAGAAAAACATAAATAAACATACTTAGAATCGATAAAATTCTTTTAAATCAAAATATTCAATTGTTTGTTTACTTGATGTTTGATGTTTTGAATATCCATATTAGTGAAAATTCTAAATTTACATATTTTTAAATTTTTTTAATATAATATTTTAAGAGAAAAAACCATAAATATAAAGTAAATAATACAAAAATAATTTGATAAGACTGGCCTATATATATAATTGAATAATTAGAAAATCTAGAGATGATCATAGCTAATCTACAATGTATTCCATATATAATTATAGTTAGAGTTCAAATGGGGTCTCTATTTATAATTAAAATAAAGATTGAATCTAGTGAACCATAAACTTACACATAAAAAGGCAAACAATATATATATATATATATATATATTAAAATAATAGGAAATAAATTAATTAAATGAAAAAGGAATAAG